TAGAAAAAATTTCACGAAAATGCATGACAATTTTCTGAATCTTTAAACCCGTTAAAAAGAACAATATAAATTACCTAATAACGAAAAAGTATATACCCTTTCCAAATATAACATTCCACATATAAAAACTAAATATCAAAAACTTGTACCCTAAATTATCTATTATATATAAACGTCACCAACGAATTCATACCACAACATTACAAATACTTAGTGTCAATATTTAAATTATTTCCATTCACGTTTACTTCAACTAAACGTATACCAATCCTACAAAAAAAATTCACAAATAACTATCATTAATTAAAATATCACTAAAATGACACGTCGACTTATTACTTAAAAAAATCCAGAATGCACAAAAAATAGCACACCCACTTCACCATATCCTGTACACTGCTTTTTTCTCATTCTCATAAATTAGAAAATTCACGAAAATGCATGACAATTTTGAATCTTTAACCCTTAAAAAAAAATATGAAATTACCTAATAACGAAAAAGTATATACCCTTTCCAATATGACATTTCCACATTAAAATAACTAATATCCAAACTTTTACCTCTAATATCTGTTATTTAAACGTCACACGATTCACCCACAACATTACAATTACTTAGTGTAAATATTAAATTATTTCCATTCACGTTTACTTCACTAAAACGTGACCAAATTCCTAAAACATAAATTCACAAACTATCATTTAATTAAATATCACTAACCATGTACACGTCGACTTATTTTTACGTAAACATCCCAGAATTGCACAAAAAATGGCATGCGCACACTCTCACTATATCCATGTACACAGCTTTTTTCTCATAAATTAAAAAATTTCACGAAATGCATGACAATTTCTGAATCTTTAACCCGGTAAAAAGAAATTATGAAATTCCTGATCGCGAAAACGTATACCCTTTACAAATGGAACATTCCACATATAAAATAAAAAAATATCAAACTTTACCCTAAATCATCTATTATATAAACGTCACCAAATAATCATACCGCAAGCATTAAATACTTAGTGTCAAATATTTAAATATTTCCATGCCTTACTTCAACTAAACGTCTACCAAATTCCACAAACATAAATTCCAAAATAACTATCATTAATTAAAAATAATTAAAAAAAAAGCACATATTAACATACATTATTAATAAAAATAGCTTACAATCCTAATTACTTTAAACTAATCATGCTAATAATTTCCCAATAATACCAAATTACTTTACTTCCACCTTACATTTAGAAAATGCAAAAAAATATCCTCAAATAATTAAAACTAACTGACCTATCTTGTTCAGATCTTGCTTACATGGGATACACTTTTATTATGGATTCATAATTATTGACGATTTTTTTTTTGACTTTTTCCTCCACACTTCCTCCTAATAAAAAGCAAAATTCTCTTTATCACAATACCTTGGACATCACTTAGACAGCGCCATACATCCCAAAATATTCAACCCTACTTCACACAACACACAGAAGTTAATACAAAATATATACAGCCACAGATATTTTCCAGTTCCCCCTTTTCCGATAAAAACCTAATTCCCCATTAATATCGCATGACATATCCATGATCGCTATTTCCCTCCACAAAATAATGCGGAATCGGAATGAGACTGCCACATTTACCAAAGTCCCAGGTAGTAACCTTTATCGCCTCCAAAATGTCGCCAAACTACCAGTTACCACATTCTAAAGATCAGCCACAAGTAGTTTGTTTTGTAAGATCCGTCTCTGCTATTCCACATAAACTAAATCAGATCCTACAATGAACCTGGCAAATTCTTGCACAGGAGTGAATAAATTACCAGCACAGAAGAAGGGTGAAAATAACCCTTTATTTATTTCAAATAATTAACAGAAAGGCACAATCTTTGTGCTTTACAATGGCACCATCAACTTGTGGTGGAACTGAAATGTAGAATATAATTCAATTCAAAATCTAAAATAAAATAGTGCTGGATTAGCACATTAAGTTGTGCCTAACAGGTTGACTCAACAAAAACCTAACAGACATGACAATAATCTGAAATGACCAAGAGGCTTACTATCATAACAGCAAGATACTTGTAGGAATGAAACGTGCGCTGGCTAGCGAAAAAAACCTGTGAATAAACTCGAGATTCACCCATTTAAATACTCACTTCACTTCACTTTAAATTTACATCCTGACAAGAAAATGTGAGGGGGGAAGTTATATCAAACCTAAAAATAAATTTGTAATGCAAAGTAAGGGAAAACTTACAGTTTTATGTTCATAACCTAAAATCAAATACTGAACAGCTAAATAAAAGGTAGACCACATTCCTCACTAAAACTACAAAATCCTTCAAGGGGAGAATTCTCACCAGTTAAGAACCACTGATCTGTATGCTTTGAATAATATGACACATATAAAATATTGGTACTATTCTGTTTTGAGGACCGTAAAAAATCGCCAAACTACTGTTGATGCCAGTGCTGCCAAAATTATTGTGGCAACCCTAAGAAGAAGAACCGCAGAAAGGAGTGTAATAGTAAATAACTATTTAAGAGTGACTTTTAAATTAGATGAAATGTTAATTTCATATAATATTTTTTTATTATCTAATTTATAAAAAAGGCTAAAAACTGAAGGAAGCATAAGAGTAATAATATTCCGATCATTTTATAATTATATAAAAGGCTACACATACTAGTGGATGCCTGCATCGATTTCGTACCATTATCCCTAAAGCAATTTCATCGTTGGTTCAAATAATTTTCTATAATGAAAAATCCTTCTTTGAAAAATTCTATTGCAGACTTTTCGTCATGGACAATTCCTTAATTGTTAAATCCATAGGATATCAAAAAAGGATTTAAAATATAAAAAAAGGATTTAAAAATTAAACTAGTATTTCAATGGCGTCTTAAGAAAATATAGAACTATCTAAACTTACGCAATCTGAAATCAGCGCGTATGCTAGATTTGGCGCGCTGTTTAAATGAGCGCGTTTGCTAGATTTGGTGCTTTTGCGCATCCATTTTTGCTGCAATTTTTTTACGGTCCTTAAAACGGAATAGTACCAAAATATTTTTACCTGACTGAATAAATAGATGAAGAATGAGAAAGGATCATATAATAAAAAAGAAATTTGTATAAATTAGAATATTATAAAATATAATTCATATAGTTTTTTAGCAGAAGGTACGAAAATGTAAAATTTGTTTGTATTTCCTTTTAACTTTTTTACCATAAAAAAATCTAAGTAATTAGTGATTGTTATACACATTATGATTGTAACTAAAATATTAAAGTACAGTCATTAAAAAGTCCACATATATATTAACATTAATAACATTCTTATTACAAGAAAACTATAAGAATCCAACTGCAATCCCCTAGTTACAATGTTCTGTTGCCATGGCTGTAATATTAATTAAATACAGGGTAAAAATATATTTACGGGTACCCCTTGGTGATTTTTGGTAGTACATGGGTACCGCGTTTGTGCAATTCTTTGATTTGTTATTTTGGCTTGTATAGCGCCGATTGCAAAAATCGCTGCTACACAAGTCAAAATAGTGCACTCTCTGGACTTTTTCCATGTACATATCAGACTATATTCACTTAAAAAGTCAACGGAGCAGCCAACAAAAAATATACTATTATCTCAATAAACTACATTTTAAATGAAACAATGAAATAACATAAAAAAGGAAATTCATCTTTGCACTACACAAAGGAAATATCTACTTAACTTATTTACAGATAAACATGTCTTCAGTCAAACCAAATTCTTTAACAGCATCCAAAAACATCCTAAAATTATCTGAACTAGAATCTGTGCATTGGCGTCACCACATAAATTCACAAAATAAGAATAAAAAATACCTCCGTAGCACCGTTATCGTCTGACATTTGACCATACTCATTTCCTTCCTACAAACAGGACACTCAATAATGGCTAGTAAGTAAACCTTCATTTACACACCAGTCAAGTAATGCTCTTTTCCCCTTTCTTTCCAAATCATACAGAAACTTCAACATAATCTTACTACTTTCAGCCATTTTGCCGTCTAAACCACAAAAAAAGCAATATGCTTCGTAACCAACACGCACTACAAGCCCTTACAAATTTACAGCAATCGTGCAGCCGATTACATCATAATAGGGTTTCCATAACATTCAACTACTCAGGCTACTATAAATGAAACAACTTGGCGATAAATGAAACAACAACTTCGCAATAATACAAGGGGTATCCTTCTCTCTACTCTAACTAAATACAGTAAACAAATATATAACAATACCAATTAAAGTTGTGCTAGGACCACTATATATATGTCAAAATAATGGGACATAAAATTTTACTGCAGTATACACCAAGTTCTTACTGCTAATTTCTGCAATACTTTTTTTTGAAGTGTATATCTTGTTCATAGATAAATTCCTTTTAATAGTGATTTTTTTAATTAAATGATAAAAAATATATATAAATTGTATTATTGTTATTTCAGAGTGCCATCTTGGTTTTTTTGCATTCCACTGTTTTTTTACTTCCCACTTGGCCTTTGTCTTGTAGCAGTTCGTTTTTCAATTGGAATTAATGCTTTTCTTCTTGCTGTGATATTTACAAAATTACCAGTACTGCGTCGGTAAGTTCCTTCACTTTATTTTCGTATATGATAGCTAAGCAAAGAATGCTAATACATTTGTATCTGAAACTGTATGAAGTATCCTATATAAAATATAGTCCATTTATTAGACTTGTGCATGTGTAAAAGGAGAAATGTACGTATACTATAAATACAAAAGTGGGAATAAATACAGTTACAGAAACTATTAAAATAACCACCATGTGTTTTTATGTAGATTTCCACTTTTTGTACAAGGTGATTCTTTTAGAACTGACCTATTTCATTGGGCTGTAGTTTTGTTAAAAAGTATCCAATTTTAATGCGGTTTGTGGCAAAAAAGTCAAGAAGGAGGAAAATTTAGTGGTTCAACCCATTTTTGGACGTGCAACACTTGAAAAAAAAAAAAAAAAAAAGAAGAAGAAGAAGAAATAACGAAAACCAGAAAATGCTATATAATAAGAGATGGCTTGCACCGATAAAATTTTGTTAGAAACTCTGATTGCCATGTGGCATACCAAATGTGGCTAGTAAAGGTGTATAATCACTTACCTTACAGTAGGTGTTGAAAATGACCACTCTTCTAGTATGGGCATGGCCAAACTCACTCCTCCATGTTGGCTGCAACACTTCACAATGTGTCGGCAGTGATGTTTGCAATTTCTGTAGAAATGCTGGCTTTTAAGTTGTTCAGTGTCTGTGGTTTATCGTGATAGACATGACTCTTCAGAAAACCCTATAAGTCAAAATCTGGGGGTGCTAGATCTGGTGTCCTTGGATAGTAAGAGAGTTAAGTGGTTTTTGTTATTTCCTATTTCTTTTATTTTTGGCATTGCGCATCAAAAAATGAGACAGCTCACTAAATTTTTATCGTTTCTTGAATTTTTTGTTACAAACCGCTTTAAAATTGGGTACTTTTTAACAAAACTACAGCTGAGTGAAATAGGTCAGTTCTAAATGAATCATCTTGTATTATTTTTTACACTTGCTTCTCCCCTATTTTTACAAAGTTTGTAACTAGACTGAATAGCTAACAATTTCTTTCTATAGTCAATGCCCCCCCCTCTTTTTTGTGGATGTGTGCATGTGTACTTCTTTAAAGTAATTAAAATAAGTGTTGTGAAGTTCAGAGTGAAGTTATGCTTGATTTGTGAAAAATAACAAGACCATGTTGTGAATATTGTTAACGTGCAAAACCATTTTCATCATCACAATGTAAGGAGTGCTCTAGCTGGATTGAGTAATCAGATGATGAATGGATTATACAAGAGATGAAAATATTTTATGGATATTTTTTTGTATTTCATGAAAAGCAAATCAATGGGTATTTCATATGGAATAAATCTGTCTTATGACATATAAAATTTGAAATCCAAATATTCAAATTTATCATGAATATGCAAATTATGAATCAAGAAACAATAAATCGGAATTTTATAGCTATATTATTTCCTTCACATTGTGCTTCTATTAGAGATAATCTGCAAAAATTTTGCCAAATTTTTTCAAAAATTTAGAAAAATGACTGAAGTAGCTATCAGCCGACTTTGAAATTATTGTTTTGCATGAAATTGTTTGTATAAAATCTATGGCATATATAAAGTTCTCATGCCTAATTTAACAAAATCAAGCTTTTGTTCAAGTCCCAAATAAACTTGCTTGGGGCCTTAGATGCAGCACTTTATTAGAGCCCTATGCCTTTATAAGGAAAAGAAGATTATGATTAAGCATTATGGGATATGGAAGACTCCTAAAACCTAGGGCTTTCTGGGCTGAAATGCTAAATCAGAAAACTTTGACAATAACTTAAACCAACTTGTTTTAATTGATTTAAGTTATTGTTAAAGAAATATGCAATAAAAATCTATAATATTTACTCCAGGAGTCAGAAGTTTGCACACGTATATACAGATATGCAGTTATGTTTTTCCTCCAATTTTCTAACTTTCATATATTCATATATATGATATAATTTTTAAATTAATATTTACATTTTTTTATTTTATTTTAAGAGACTATTTTCTTAAAGTACTTAATAGGTACTTGTTCTCATATTTCAGGTTCCTTTTAAGAATAATGTGCACTGTTTTAGGATTCATAGTGTTTGTAGAAGATGCAAACAATTATTCAAGTAAAGTAAAAATTGTTGTGTCTAACCATGTCACAAAATTTGACCATTTAGCTGTGAGTCTTATCATTTCTACCATTGTGGTAAGTTTTATATTTCTCTTGGTTATTATTAAATGTAGAAAAAGTATACGTCTATATTAAATTAGGCTGGATCAAAGGAATAATTTTAAACAAAGAGTGTTTATCTGTGCATTGTTTATTCATGATGAAATACTACATGTACACAAATATGAAATCACAGATTCTTTTACAAATAAACACTACTGCCTTCTATTGGCAAGTTGAGAATAATAATCACAAACTCATAAGGATGCATCAATTTTGCTAAACTTGAGACTATAAAGCCTTTCAATTGGTCTTCTAACAACACCCTTACCCAAGTGAATCTCGCATGATCTACGAGGGCTATCCAGAAAGTAGATTACGTTTTGTAATAAAAAAATAAACAAAGTATAGGAAACAAATTTTATTATATACAGATGAAAGCCACACTCAAATACTACTTTTCTACATAGTCACCATACAAATTAAGGCATTTATCGTAGCGATGTACGAGCTTGGAAATTCCTTCGTCGAAAAATTCGGCCGCCTGCGCCTTCAACCACTTCGTTACCTCTTCTTGCAGCTGTGCGTCGTCATCAAAACGCTGCATAGCCAGCCACTTCTTCATTGCTGGGAATAGGTGGAAGTCGCTCGGTGCCAGGTCGGGACTGTACGGCGGATGAGGAAACAACTCCCACTTAAAAGATTCAAGAACTTTACGAGTGACATTTGCCGTGTGGGGCCGGGCGTTGTCGTGAATCAACAAGATCTTAGAGCTCAACATTCCTCTGCGCTTGTTTTTGAATTGCTCTTCTGAGTTTTTGGAGAGTTTGGCAATACCTTTGAGAGTTTATTGTAGTGCCTCTTTCCAGGAAGTCCACCAAAATTACACCTTTTCTGTCCCAAAAAACAGTCGCCATCATCTTCCTTGCCGACATTGTTTGCATGCATTTCTTGGGTTTTTGGGGAGAACTTGTATGCCCCCACTGCATTGATTGCAATTTCGTTTCACAGTTCACATGTTTCACCCATGTTTCGTCACCAGTAACGATGTGATCGAGTAAAGAGTCACCATCCTTATGGTAAGCGTCCAAAAAGTTCAACGCTGCAGCCATTCGCTGATTTTTGTGGTCCTCTGTCAAGATTTTTGGAATCCATCTTGCACAAAACTTGTGGTAACCAAGCTTTTCGCTGATGATTTCGTGCAAACAAACTTCGCGAAATTTGTGGAAAACTCAAAGAAAGTTCCGTTATTGTGAAATTTCGATTTTCACGGACTTTAGCATCGACTTTTTCGAGAAGTTCGGCGGTCACTATGCTGGGTCTCCCACTTCGATCTTCGTCGTGAACATTGGTTCGGCCATTTTGAAATCTTATGACCCACTGACGCACTCCACCACCTTCAGTGATAATGTTGTCCCCATACACTTCACGAAGCTGCCGATAGATTTCTATCGGTTTTACAGTTTTTTGCAGTCAGAAACCTTATTACTGAGCGCACCTCGCAGCTCGCGGGATTTTCAATTAACGCAGACATTTCAAACCGTCACAGTATCTGAACGGAGCACAGCACGAACCTCTCACTAGCACGGCTAGATGCAGACTGAGCTGCGCAACGCTCTGACCCCAAGATGGCCGCGCTAGCCCCGCCCCTAGCGGACACAGACGGAAACGTAATCTACTTCCTGGATGGCCCTCGTAATTCGACCATCTCTTCCAGGAAATACTTTTTTAATACTGTCTAACTTCAAATTACAGCATTTCCCATTATCTCCTTGCACAAGTACAACATCAAAAATTTCAAACACGGGAGAAATTTTTCAAAATATAACTGATCTTAGTTCTAGCAAATATGCTTTATAAAACCATTTCCAAAACTGCTGGAATAGTAATTGCCTATCTTTCCATTTTTTAATCAACTCTTATGGATTCTTATTTAGATTCAGGTGAAGGTTAAATATTCAATCTAGATCCAGTTATAAAATGAGATGGTGAAAGAGGATTTGGTTCATTCTAATACATGAGTTATGGGCCTAGAATTAATAATAACTTCATCTAATTCAGTATACAGTTCTCTATAAGATATGGAAGTGTTACTTAAAATATATTATAAGCATGTTTTCATCGATCTTACCAAAGGTTCCCAAAGTCCTCCCTACCAAAGAGCACCTTCTACAATAAATTTCCATTTAGAACCATTTTTCTCAAGAAAATTTAGAACTTTTTCATCTTTACACAATTAATATAAATATTTTAATTCACAATCTGCAGTTTTAAAGGTCTTAGCATTGTTAGACTAAATAGCTCTACAAATACCTCTTTATGCAAAAAAATCTACTCAGTGCTTATATAAAACACTCTGTACTTAAATTTGATGCTAATTCTAAATGAACTCAGTTACTGCACAAGTAAACAATGGAATATACACTTTTGTACCATCTTTTAAATACAAAGGTCCTGCAAAATCTACCCCACTTATCTCAAACAGTTGAGCTTTCTCCACTTGGTCAGAAAGAAAAGGAGCTGATATCTTGTGTCCAGCTCTAGCATTATATTTTATACAGAATTTGTATAAACACAAATTTTATAAAACATCTAGCTTTTAAAATTCAAGATTTTCTTGTGACTTGCACTAAAGTTTCATTTACACCACTATATATTTTTATGACAGCTAAAAATAATTGCAGGATTGTCTGATCCAGGACAATGGTACCATATACTCAGTGAGGTTTTATCTTGAATATCCGACATGCGATTTTATACAAAAGTTTTCCATCGCCGGGGTGAGTTTTTTATTGAGCATCTTTGCTTGAGAAAAAAAATGCATTGACTGTCATTATTAGTCGTGTACCTAACACAGCTGCCATGAGTTCAAGTCTTGATGAAGATAATTTTCTGAGGTGATCCACTATACTCTTGGCAATTACTAAAGTTGCTCTGAAACATTTACAGAAGCTACAGAATTTCACATATACATCTGCTCCATAAGCACTTTGAAATGAATCACAAATACAATGTAGTTTCAACACTTCAGGTGTTTCATCAACATCACAAAAATGCTAACGAGGTATTTGGATATTGGGTAAATCACATAGTTGCCTATACCATTTGTTCTATTTGTTTTGTAATTCTGGAGGGATAATTTGATCCCATTCAATGCCTTCAAGGCATAATCTTGAAATAAAACTTTTGCTTGAATCACATGTGGAGCAAGAAAAACAGGGTCTAAGATCTTCAAAGCTGCTTTTGAAACACAGTGCTTTGTTTAATGATATGACAGAATGAAATCTACAACATTTTGAACATTAGAAAGAAGATATCTTTACTATTATCCCATTCAAGTCCAAGAATATTTGAGGAGGAATTATAATCACATAATTTAAAATTGACAAAGTTGTTATTTAATTTATACTGGTCTTTTAAAGTATCCGAATTTTAATTCCATTTTTTGTCAGAGTCTTTGATGCTTTTTTTGTTATATTATTGGCTTCGTGATATATCTATACAGATTTCTTCTACATATCTGATTCACAAATAAAGTGATCAACATACGTGAAATTCTGTAGCATTTCTACAGTTTTGTGGTAAGTATTTTTTAATTTCTTTAAATTATTAGTTTTGCTCAAAAAATTAAAAAATGTGTAAGTTTTTATTAAATCAGACTGGATCAAAAGAAGAATAATAAACAGAGAGCATCTTTCTATGCAACATTTATTCACAAGCATCAAAGACAAAATACTACATTTACACAAATGTGACATTGCAGTTTCTTTTGCAAATAAACACTACCACAATCTGCTTCCAAGCTGAGAATACATAATCTCAAACTCATATTTAACATTAAATAAATTATGCTACAGAAAAAATTATATTTAGTTTATAAAATTGGTTTCAGTGTAGTACAACATCCTTTCCTTTTAATACAAAATTATGTTGCAAAAATTCCAGATACAGTCAAAAGTCGTTAATCTGGACTCGTCGGCAATTCCGGATTATCGATTTTTCCGGATTATAGATCATCAGTTTAAATCTCGTAAGATGGCATGTGGAAACTCTAAAATTAAAAATATGAAACCGTAATTTATGAAATAAAGAACAATTATGATCTAAAGGGTATCAAAATTTACAAAATAAAAGCTTAATGTTTATTTATTTACTTTATTAAACATTTCTTTCAATATAAGTTGTTTAAGTAGCTTCGTTTTATGTGATAATACTTTCTCTTTAATTCTATAAACAGACATAATTTCTTGTTCAGTTACAAAGATCCACTGTTTCAAGTCCTGTAATTGCTGTGTCGAGAATACCGACTAACTTGTCAATTGAAATTTTTTCGTTTTCAATAACCTCTCTGTCACTTTCTTCACTATAGGAAGCGGTATTTTCTGGATCTAGAATGATACTACAGTCAAAAGTTGTTAATTCGGACACCCATAATTCGGAATGATCTATAATCCGGACCTCAAAACTAAAAACTTTCTGCGCATGCGCCGCATTGACACATGCGCATAGGCGTTTACGCGTGCGCGTAAGACCTTTTACGACTGCGCATATGAGTGTGCGCAAGTGCAGAATACGTTTTCGTTCGCGTGTGCGTTTTATGTATAATGGACGTATAAGCTAAAATTATCTAATTATCTATTTCAGTTAATGTTGATGATTGCGTTGTTCCTTAATTTTCGAATTGGATCTGGCTTATTACTTTTTGCAGACTGTAAGAGCAATTTTATAAAAGTAAGCTTAAACTTTCGATTATATCAAATAGAATTTCCGATATATATTTGTTAATATGTAAAGGATCTAAAGCGAAAGTATGTTTTGAAATCCGAAATCTGTTTATCAATTTCACGCAGCTTCGGCTCGGCGGGGGAACGCCGCGCGGCGGCGCGTAATGAACTTTGGAAGTTGATCTGTCAGCACTATCCTTATCTTCAGGGCAGATGTTTTTATTTTATTTGGCTTATAATTCCTTTCCAAATGTAGTATTTCATCTCGATATGCTCCGTCTTTGATATGATTTAAAACAAGTTCCTCGTCATTATAATTCGCTTCCGATAGCGAAGAAAAGTAACAGAGGTTATTGAAAACGAAAAAATTTCGATTGACAAATTAGTCGGTGTTCTTGACATAGCAATTATAGGACTTGAACAGCGGAACTTTGTAACTGAACAAGAAATTATGTCTGTTTAATAGAATTAAAGAGAAAGTATTATCACATGAAACGAAGCAAAACTTATTAAACAACTTACATTGAAAGAAATGTTTATTTAAGTAAACAAATAAATATTAAGCTTTTTCTTTTTGCAAATTTTGATACCCTTTAGATCATAATTGTTCTTTATTTCATAAATTACGGTTTCATATTTTTAATTTTAGAATTTCTGCATGCCATCTTACGAGATTTAAACTGATGATCTATAATCCGGAAAAATCGATAATCCGGAATCGCCGAAGCCCCGACGAGTCCGGATTAACGACTTTTGACTGTATAGATTTCACCATCCGTTAATTGATTAATGATTGGGCATTGTCGTTGCAATGAAAAACTTCTGTTTTATCATCTTCATTTATTACCGCTTCTCCACATTTCTTTACAAAATCCAATAACTTGAAAATTTCACCTTTAGTTTGCGATGTCTGAAAACCTTCAGATTCGCGGCTATCATCTTCATCGTCCTCACCATGAAATATGGTAGCTGGCCATAAATTATGCCGAGCATTTTTTAATGTATCTGGAGACACATCCTCCCACGATCTTGCGATGCTCCACACAGCAGATTTTATGCTAAAAAATTTCAAAAGTCTTGAATAGTCTTGCCATTGTTCAAGAAATTTAACATAGATTTTAAAAATGCTACTTTATATTTGCATTTCAGTGTGTGCACTATTCCTATATGTATAGGCTGAATGATAGACGTACAATTTGGAAGGAAGAATAATATGGGTACATTATCTTTCACTAAAAAATAAATATAAAATTGTTCTAACAGTCTGCAAAAAATAATAAGCCAGATCCAATTCGAAGAGTAAGGAACAGCACAATCTGCAACATTAACTGAAATGCCTTAGAATCAGTAAAGATAATTTTAGCCTAGCTTATACCGTCCGTTTTACATTAAACACGCATTATGCACATGCGTAAACCATACAAAAAAAAAAAGTTTGTGGCTTTGAGGCCCGGATTATAGATCATTTCGGATAATGGACGTCCAGAATATGGTACTGTATTTGAATACTGTAGCTATATGAAATACATTAGATAAGGACTTTATAACTGATTCAGTGGTAGAAAAGTGTCAACTATTAAAGTGATTTCTATCAGGAGGTTTACTGAAGATAATGATATTGAGATTTATAAATATTGTATACTGAATTTTATTTTAATACTTCAGGTATGAACTGTGTTGGTTGCTCACCATACAGAATATGGTAAAATTATAAGAACAAATAACATACATGATAACACATAATTATTAATAATAAGACAATGAGAAAAATTTAATTATAAAAAGATTATTTTAATTCCATAATAGAGGCAATAGGCAAACAGTTTCCACCTGAAATAATAAATACTAATTGACATGAACAGTGACACTTCTACCCTTTTTATAATTCAATTTATTTTTCTGGTTGTCTTTTTATTAATTATTATGTGTTACTATATCATATTATATGTTCTTACTGTTCTTTGTTAAAACATAATGAGATACGATTGCCAGATTTGTGGGCAGATAAAGGAAAAGCATCACTGTTTCTTTGATTCTTCTTTATCATTTAATAAAGTGTATTTTTTAAATGTGTGGTGTACAAGAATAGTATTTTCTTTCTGTTATGAAATTAAATTATTATTATTATTATTATTATTTTACACAAATGAAAAAAAAAATCTCTTAAAATGTTAAATTTTATAACCTGTATTTAAATTTCAAATTTATTTTAAAAACACAAATTTAAAGCCACAGATATAACACAGGTCTGTTATTTATGTTTGGGTACTTATGCATTATCGTAACCACCTTAGTAGAAGTCGCCAAATTTTCAAAATATGCCCAACATTAGCAAGTATTTTAACAGTTCTTCAGTCAAGCATCGCTGCCATTTTCATTTGCATTCCTTTTGTTGTATTCCAACAATTTTTAAAGTCAAATCAGGATATTTTTGCAAATCAGGATAAACTCAATTTTTAAATAAATGCATGTGGAATTTGCCAGCAATGGAAGAAACTGAGGCAACATTTCTGCATGAATAATGTATTGTTCCACAAAACCGCTAAAGGGAGTAATGATGAGTTGTGTTTGGTAGATAGCCGATGCACAATGTCGAGTGTGTAAATGAAAACATGTTGATATGTACACAGAGAGAAGAACAGAGAAAAAGAATTACAGAAATTTTCTGAAAAATACAAGTACTTTATTTTTTTCATTTATCATATAATCCTTATTTAATAATTAAAATTTGCATTTTAAATTGATGAACATTGTTTTCTTAATATGTTGATAATGGTTGTGCAAGATATTTATATTGATAAATGTTGATAATTTGGAAGTCTTTTTAAAAATATTTGTGAAATTGTACAATTGTGTTAACATCTAAGTACCGTAATTTTGTTTCTGGAAATATTTTGGCATTGTCATTATTTTAGCTTCATTTCTAATTCAGTTTCATTAGATGAATTCACATGTGGTTCGTAGTTCCTTTTAATTAGAATATTTGGATCTTCAGATATAATTGTCTGTTTGCAGATCAAAATTACTCTGCTGCCTATTCTTGAACCGTGAATCTGATTCATTACATTGTGTCAGAGACATGCAGGTCCTTTACATTTATCTAATTAACAGTTAATAATTAATTACAGTCTTCTTCAATCCAAATTCTCATTTTTTTTATTTCTTTAGATTTTATTTAGCTCAACATATACTATTTCAATTATTGCTTTTTTATTATTTATTTATTTATTTATTCATGCATTTATTTCAGCCTAGTGTTTGGGAGCTCCCACTGTATTTGACCTGGGCTTTGGGCTATGCAGATTTTGGTGCTTCTCAAGGCAGGCAAGTGCTGCTTCATAATGTGAGAGAATTCATGAAAGGTAAATGATAAAAATCTTATTAATCTAAAATTTTATGTTAAAACCATAAAAGTAATTATACATAATGGTGAAATGATAAATCAATAGCTAATGCTAATAATCAGTAATTTAAAGGACAAGTATAAGATTGTTTCAGCCAAGCCTTGTCTGAGTTAAGCTTCCACGCCCTTTTCTAATACTGTGCCTCTAATTTATTGACTTTTAGCGGTAGCTATTGTTTTATCATTTCATTATTAGTTATTAATACTTTTATAGTTTTAAAATGAAGTTGTTAACTAATTATCATTTTGAGTTGTGTAAACAACACTTTATTTCTTTATTTATTTGATTTATGTTCGGTAAAATCTTAGATACTCTCGTAGAAGCCCATTCTGGAATGCTCATTTATGTTTCTTCCTGTTACATTTTCATGATTTCTGAAATGATGTCAAAATTAATGTAACATTTCATTTTAATCAACATAGTTTCCTATAATCCAAATCTGGTGAATGAAAGGATAATTTAGAAAATAAATTTTGGGGTACTTTCTGATTATCTGCACCCCCAACCAAAATGTTGCAAGATCGTTGCCAACTTGGCAATATTTTGTTTTCTTTTAATTTTGCAAATATTTGCAATCTTGTTGGTGACTAATTTTTTGCCAAACTATTGAATGCAACCAAAGGAAACAGCTATTTTTGAAATGGTACCGCAATAAGAATTTCATATAAGAGCTGTCTATCAATATAATTAAAAAAGCAAGAAACATGGTTACTAAAATGCTTACTTTTTTAGAGAAATCCTTTTTTATGCTGTTACTCTTTCCATATGTACAGTGGTCTGTTGCTTAAGAAAAACAATCAGAGAATTGTACAAGCTCGGCATAGAACTTTGCATTGCGCTTTGGCCAAAACACACACGTTTCACATTTATATCTAGGTTCCTTTTTTGTGTTGCTCTTTCCATGTTCAGAAAGATCTGCTTTTGCTTAAAAAAGCATCAGAGAATTGCAAACTTGGCATTCCTCACCGCCCAAAACAGATGCATTATTTGCATATCTGGGTTGCTGCATGAATACTTTTTAGTGATATCACAAACTGTCACACAACTACTTTGGCAGTATACTTCTTTTCCATGTGAATACTTTTTGACTTTACTAATTTTTCTTTGCAGTTAAAAACTGGATAATAATTAATTGTATTATGTGAAGGACAACAGAGATCCTTTACGCAGTCGAGCTTTTTCTGTCCTAATGTTATCAAGTCAGAAATGGTTTCTACTTTCTTCCACTTAAACTCTTTGTGAAAATCAAAACTTCTTTGAATGCCAATAAAAAACTTAAGTTTTTTAAGCCTTTGCACTCGAGCAATGCCTCTCAGGCACCACTGCATGTGATGCGATAACTCGAGCGGTGCCTGAGAGGCACCATTCGAATCGATGTGTTTATTTGTGTTTGACCTAAAGAATATCACTTGAGAGATCTACTTGGCCTTTTGTAGATCATATTACGAGGTGTCTGAATAGCTATAAGGATGTCTTATCTCAAATAAAGGTTGTCTTTGCAATGCTTATACGATTAAATGTCTTATCTCAAAAATAACTTGCGACCGCGGGTAGGACTCTGTCTTACCCGCGGTCAGTTCAACCTTCTTGCTGATCGCAGTATTTCTTTCAAAGTTACTGAGCCCAATAAGTATGGAACATTACGAAGAAGTTACTTCTAGCGAAGATGAGTTTAATTTTTCGGCAATAACGAACGAAATTACATCACTACATAGACAGCTTGCCCATGCCCCCCCCCCCCCCCCCCCCCCCCCCCCCCCCCCCCCCCCCCCCCCCCCCCCCCCCCCCCCCCCCCTGAGAACGAAGACGGAAGTGATAAAGATAGTGACGACTTTAGAGGAGCAAGAAGATGAAAAGTCTGAATAATCGATAGTGAATCTGGAAACCAAAGTGATTGTACAGAAGAGACTGAACCTTCAGAGTGGACAGCGTGCACAGAAAAGTGCCTTGAGCGCAAAGTGTTAAAATGCTGCTTCTAAAAGCAAAGGTTCTTTGTCTAAGGTAAATTTCTTCTGACGTATATAAAGATGGCATCTGCTTGCTTCTGAGTTTTATGTCAAACACCATCTTTTGACTTTAATTATAATTTTATTAGAAAATTCAGAATTTCTATCTACCATTTTGATTAATTCTGTATTTTTTTTAAATTATTATTATTATTATTATTTTATTTTTCAGCCTGTAGTTTTGTAATAGCAGATACAGGCTGCATAAAATAAAGTACAAAATTCTATTTACACTCGTTTCTATGAGAAGATAATAGTATAAGGGAAAGAAATTGAGACAAGTTTGCATTTATTAGCAGTAGTAATTATTTGGTAGATCTATTAGGATTGAAAATTAAGAATTAGTATTTCATAGATACATTATATATATATAGTTATTTGCCTGCTTTCATATGTGTTTTTCCAATGAGAAAATTTATAGTTATTGATTTATATTTTAGAAGTTGTATTTAACAAAACTGAAGCTGAGTATTATAAAAAGACACTGTTTATCATATATAAATTTGTAGGTAAAGATTTTAATTCATCAATTTAGATTTTACATTCATTTCTGTATTTCAAAGTTTAGTTTTATTTTCTGGGTTCAAAATAATATAAAAATTTATTAAGTTTGAAAAATGAAAAAATAATTACTTTCATTTAAAAATTCTGTACTCCAGAACAAATCAGTTTTAGATTATTTTACTTTTGTTCTCTGCACAGCTTTTGGTCCATTGTTTTCAAGCTGATGTTTTGCTGTTCAATCTTACAATCTTTTATTATTTAGAACTGCTGATTTTACATAATCTTCATTAGAGTCTAAAAGATTTTTCACCTGAAATTTTTCTTTGATGCTTTTCTTGAATACTGAACAGCAGATGTAGTGTTTTATTTATTTATTTTTGGTCACATGATAGTTTTATAATTATTTCTGATATAAATGTATAATTTTTTATATTACCATATCTGTATTTTAAATTTTATATTATGTGTTTCAAAGTGAGCTATTCACAGTATCTCGAAAAAATGCATTCATAAAAACACAGAAAATTTAATTCCTAAAGATGCAGCAAGCATATTTACTTAAATGCTTACAATGCAACAAGAAGTAAATAATAATAAAATAGAGTTTTATTTTAAATGGGAGCTGAAAACTTTGATTTAATGATAACTAATCCATTTATTTATTCACTATGAAGTATATGGATAAATATTGTAGAACTCATACACTTTGACATGGCTTTGTTCTTTATAAAGAACTGTTCAAGCGGATGCCTTGATAATGTTATTTACAATAGCAGCTTAACAGATATTATTTTCGGTTAACATTCTCCAGTTTTCTCTTTTGCTATAATTGGGGTTCTTGGCCAATTTCTGATGTTTTCACATTATCTCTTGGAATTCTTTTCATAATTTAAATACCTTAAGTAAATCCAGATGATTTATCCCATGTTCAGCCATGGTTTGATAGCTATCATTTTACTCCTCTCTTATGTGAAGATTGGGATTACAACCTGTGTTTGGATATACACTCATGTCCAAAATTATGTTTACATGCATAAATTCACGGATTTCTCAGAGAGTATGACTTATAATTTAATGAATTTTCGTGGAATCATGCATAACATGATGACACATAAATGCAAAAGAAAAAATTGAAGATCACCTCATATGATATAAAATTGTAGCATGAAACAATAAAAATGATAATAAAGTGTGACAAAGAGAGTTAAGAAAAAAAGGAATGATTCAGAAAAAGAATTAAGTCTTACGAATTTAATATGGAATATGATCTCCCCTGACTTGTACACACATATCACAACGTGTTTAAGACTGGAAATAACGTTGTTAACCACAGTTTGGGGAATTAATCTCCACTCTTCCAGCAATGCCGTCTTCAGAGCATTTACATCTCTAGGAGGAGGATGTATAAGTGCAATTGCTCTTCCAAGGTAGTCCCATAAGTTCTCTATCGGGTTAAGGTCAGGAGAGTTTGGTGGCCAAGGTATTCGCTTAATGTCTTCACTTTCAAGGAATTCATCAACGAGGTTTGCTCGATGTGGACGGGCATTATCATCCATAAATAAAAAGTCAGGTCCATATGCACCCCTGAAAAGTCTTACGTAAGGATCTAAGACCTCATCTCGATATATCTGGCCTGTCACAGATCCGCTGCTGAACACGTGTAGGGGCGTACGTCCATCGATCATTATTCCACCCCATACCATCACGCATCCACTACCGAAACGGTCACGTTCCACAATGTTCGAGGGATCATTTCGTGTTCCTGACTCCCTCCAGATGTAAACACGTTTAGAATCACCAGTTAAACTAAACCGCGACTCATCAGTAAAGAGAACATGGGACCATTGATGTTCAGTCCAGGTTTTGATGTTTTTTACACCAATTAAAGCGATCCCTCTTTTTCTGTGAAGACAGTAAAACACATACCCTTGGCTTTCTGGCATAAAGGCCTTTTTCATTAAGCCTTCTGTATATTGTTTGCCGTGATGCAACAGTTCCAGTGGCGGCTGCAAGCTCTGAACTTAACTGGCGAGCAGTAGCCTTTCTGTTACGACGGGCAGTTAATGCCAGATACCGATCTTCAGAAGCAGTTGTCATTCATTTTCGACCTTGTCCAGGCCTCCTTACAACACTTCCATCATTTTGAATCTGTTTCCATAGCTTAGAGACTGTCTGTCTTAAAATATTCAGACATGTGGCTGTTTCCATGATTGACTGCCCTGCTTCTAAACGGCCGATAATTCGCCACTTTACAGATTCTTCCAAATGATACTTCGAAGCCATAACAAACCGCTTTGAGTCCCTACACACTGAAATCAAAGGCTATGTTGCAGAAATTCACTCAAATATTCAGTTTGCGCAAAGCGCTTGATTCACTCTTGGATGACGTAACGCCTATATTTGCATATCACAAACCGTTTGATTACTTTTGATTGGATAATGCTAATTAGGCTTGGTTTTCACACATTTCCTGCAAATACGGATCACATTGATTCGATATTTCATTGAATATCATCATTTTTATGTATGTAAAGATAATTTTGGACATGAGTGTATTTATAAGGCAGGCTGTTCATATTCATTTGACTCATCATTCCTACATTTCAAGTTCACTCTCATTATCTATTTTTGTACAGAAGTCCTAACTCTATCATTTTTTCAAATACTAAAATTCTTGTAAAGATATTTGGGTACTTTTCCATTTCGCCGGCGCAAATCTCGCAAGTAGACTTTATTGGCGAAAACACACAGTATACACATAAAAAGTGTTGACAAATCTTAGTTCTAAGAATTTTTTCAATGACATAAACATTTTAATGTCATTGAAAATTTTGAAGCCAGTAAATAAAGACAATAAATTTTTAAAAAGATGTTAATTTAAGAATTTACTATGCTTTCATCTACAACATCCTGATTTGCTGGTTCGTATCACATGACCCCAAGTGATCTTATCTCACGTAAACTATGCTACAAAAATCTAATTCTCTCAGTAATTATCTACATTAATTTCAAGTTAAATCTTAGTTTAGAATACAAGTTTAAATGCAAGAATTGTTTCAATTCGTACGAATAGCTTACTCAGAAATTATGTAAAACCGCAGTACTTTACTTCACTGGTGCATTCCATTAGAATTGATGAATTTAAGCCTTGACTTTGCCTTTACTATATTTTCATCTTCAGGTGAGCAGTGTGATTGCATTCTAGTTGACTTGATTACCGCCCGCGAATGACCTTAGGGCATAAAATTGAACTATCTGATAAAAATTTTATGTAATTGTATGCCAGTATTGAAAGAAACAATCAATCTGATAAGAAATGGCTGCAACTTGTTTTGAAAATCTAAAAGTTTAAGTAAAAGGTTACCAGCGAGGATATTTCATTTGGAATTGGTTGCACCATTACTGGCGAAGTTATCGCTTGCACCGTCAAAATGGAAAATACCGGCAAATCAGGATATTTGGGTATTCACCCAATAAGCGATTTACCTTACATAACTATGATAGTTACTTTACGGATCGATAGTTAGTGCAACAAAAATTTTTGTTTTCACACATTTTTTCCTTCTGTCATTTTATTCAAATTTGCATGATCAGATTTATTATTACTTAATACTAATTATTTTGTATATTTTGCAAAATATTTTTTTTGTTTTGCTGTGTTTTATGGTACGTATAAGAAAACTTTCGGTGTGTGAATAAAAGGGTGAAATATATATATATATTTTAGTTAGGTTAGCTGGTTTAAATATTTTAATGAATTATTCAATATTAATATAACTAAAAGTGAGCCCGTAAATGTTATGGATGTAGATTATATCAAGAATTTTGTGCATGTACTGAATGAAACAGATAAGAGATAAGTCAAAATACACTTAATTTTGTACTGCTATATTTAATCATTTCAAAACCTACTTACAAACAATTTGTTGTAAGCAGAGTATTAAAAAGAGAGAGATAATGAATTTATTTCATTTGCTTCTTATTTCAACTCTTTGTAATGTAAATGTGCAAAAAATTAAATTTCTAGAGAGTAAATTGATAACAAAGATTCAAACACAGTATTTTAAAAACACTTTGCAAATTCAACAGAAAAATTGCATGTGAAAGAAACAATAAGCATAAACATTGCTTTTACAAACCAAATAGTCTGAAACAGAAGTGGCACCAACTGGTATAAAACTTTTTAACCAACCAACGAAATTTGGTAGATCGCCAGTTGGGGCAATACTGATATTTGTAACAAGCAACAATTTATAGAATCTCTTAACTTTTAGTTTTATTGAGCATAAAGTATGAGAAGGCTATCTACCTAAGGGGAAGGATTTTGCTTATGGAAGACTTTCTGAAGGAAAGTAGCATTCATATTGATGTCAGATGTGAGGAAAATTCCATGCAGTTGTCAGAAATAGATCAGATTCTGAGTCAAACTATCATTATTTTGAGGCCTTATCTATATGGGCATAGATATATCTAAATTTTTGGCCAAATGGATTCTTTCAATGAATTATGCTAAAGAAAACAGTGCTAAAAATTATAAAAATTATGAAATTTTCATTGCTGAAATTCATATTTAGGTGGTTTTTTTTTAATGCTTTTAGATTCAAGCACTCCATTGCTCATTTTTCCTGAAGGCACTACAACAAATGGGAAAAAGGGACTATTAAAATTTAATTTGTGGCCCTTTTTATTAAGTGAAGCTGTGCAGCCGGTAAGTTTTTCTTGTCAATCCAATCTAGTTTTTGTAAATTCCTGAACCAGATATAAACTATACAAAGATTTCACACTTATAAAATTTCAAAATGCTTTGAAGTACTCTGCAAGTCAATGTTGATAATTTAGATTTTTATAGCTAACCTTTCTTATTTGTAGGATATTATTCTTTTTTTACTACTGAACAGAAATAAATACTAAGTTTTGAAATATCCAGTTTTCTCGTGTTTAACATATCACATATAAATGACAACATATTTCATATAGTACAGTACAAAGTACATAATCCATAGAAGGTCTGATTTTGTGCAAAAATACCTATGTTAGAACAATGCTTTTTATATATATCTAATATATATCCCAAGTCGCACTTTTGAGACATGAAAAATGCAAGTTAAATTTTGACAATCGGTCCAGTAGAATGAGAGATAGAAAACTGTGCCCCCATTTTTTTTTTGTTCAAGGTATACATAGTTTATATACAAAAGGTCAGAAGAAAAAAAACTTACACTTAAAAATTTAATTTTTTCACATTTGTTCACTTGTTTTAATTAAGAAAAATAATATATAAAAATTATGTATTCACTCTTATTTTTAGATTAGAATAAAAGTGGCTAGGCCAAAACTCATGCAAGTTGCATTTGTAAGTATTGTTAAATAAATTATTATATAATTCATTTTTAAATAACCGACAATTATTAACTTGCAGTAACACTTTAAATGTATTTTTCTATTTACTTATGTACTTTTGAACTATTTTCATAATGTTTATCAAAGTTTGCATTTTTTTTAATTGATTGTGATAATGTTCACCAAATGATAGTGTATTAAGAGAAGTGTTAAGATTCATTTTTATTTGTTATTTTAGACCATTTACTTTTCTTTTCAGTCAGTTGTAGGAAGCAGATGGTGGTCAGATTTATTTTGGTTTCTCTTTGTTCCTTACACAGTTTTCAGAATCAGGTGAGTAATTTATTACTTCTTATAAATGAGAAAGTACCCTTTAGCACTTAGAATACAGTGTAAGCTCCAGACATGTCAATCTGCCAAACTAAAAAATCCGAAGAATCATATTTTTGCTCATAGCAATCGCCACAAAGGTCTGTCTTTGCTAAAAGTTTTCTAGTGCATCATCATCGATACTGGATCTAAATTTAGTCTATATTTTAAGAACATTACTAAAAATTCTCCTACCCTCTGCATTGTTTTAGGGAATTATCTAAATGACCAGCATTATTTTAAAGTTCATTATAGTTAAAAATTATATCAAGACTTCAGTTTTCCAGTTACACTCCACTGAGTATCAGTTCTTGTTAATTCTATAATATTGTCCAAGTTTTTTAATTGTACACTGCAAAATTATAATTGCAATTTATCCATTATAATATCAATATCTTTGCCTTTGAAAACTACGTGAAGTAAAACTAGAGATCTATTCATGCAAAACCCAAAAAAGGAGGGATATATATATATAGTATGTAATTTCATACTTGGTAGAAGTAACTTCTAACATGCAAAAAAAAATTCTTTTTAGTTTTCATCTGGAGTTCTTTCACTACTTTGTTAGCTGCAACCCTAATTACAAATCTTTATCCCATTATTATTTTCCATTTTATTATAATTCACTTGATATACATAATCAGATGACAAAGGTAAATAATTGTCCTTTGCGAGATAAAAGTTTAAGCAACTGGTGAATATTTCTCTCGGTGAACAATATTTTTATTTTTAGAAACCTCTTATTAACTTTATGCTTAGTTTTTATTGTATTCTTCTGAGAACTGCCAATTAAGTTCCTTGCTATAAAAAAAAGCTTATTAAATTTTCTCACACCTGTTTTTAACAGTGGAAGTATTAGCCACATTTTCAGTTACTTTAAGTAGCATTTTATATCTTTCAATAGAACATTTAGCCTTAACTCTAGAAACATTTAGTCCACCAGCAGCCGAGCAGTAAAGTCGCTGAATACTGGTAGTTCGGTCCGAAATTTGAATCCCGCAAACAGGCTGGTTGCATGCGTCTTTTTGTGGTTTTCCCCCATGTGTAACATGTATAAGAGCCAGTTTCCCTTAGAAAGTCCTCCACTAAAGCATCCCTCCCCTTAGGCAAATAGCCGTCGAGGCTTTGCCGTAATTAAATTACCTAACCTAAACTAGAAACATTTACTTTTTCCTTGAAATGTGTAAGAAATGGATTCCATTGATCAAGGATTTAAGCTAAACATTTCTCAAGATACCAATGTGTATATATGTTTCAAAATTTCTCTTTCTCTTATCTGTAGCTGTTAGAATCGTTTCAATTTTTTCCCATTTCAGAATTTTTGAGATAATAATAATTATCAGTTACGAATTCATCTTTATTTAACTAAAAGAGTTGCAGGTTCTTTTCAGTTACTATATTTTAAAGGTAATCTTTTTTTTTTAAATGCCTGCAATGCCAGACTTCAAGCCTATCATTATTGTTGCTGGAACAGTTTCCAGAGGAATTTTATTTTCTTTCAAAACTGGGAAACCATGTGAACTATACTTAAAGCTACAGGATTAAAAAATTAAAAACAACTGATACCATGCATCAGTATTACAGCTTTCATTCATAAAAAATGCATAAAGGAGCTGTTTTAATGCAATCAACAACCGAAGATTTATTTTTCACATTTATTGCTTTAACAATTGCAGTCATTTTTGATCTTGTACTCTGCCCAAAGACAGTTCTACATCTCCCGTTCTACTAGGCCGATTGACGAAAGTCAACTTGCGTTTTTCATGTCTAGAAAGCACGACTTAGGATATATATTAGATTTATATATAGCATTGTTTTAACATAGGTATTTTAACACAAAATTGGACTTTTTCTGAAATAACACACCATTCCCCCCCCCTTATTTCCATTCTACAACTCAAATTACACCAAACAACCAAGTTTTGTAAAAATTGCAGGAGTAGTTTTTAAAAAATTAGCTCTCAGAATTTTCGCTCCTCAATGTTAATTGAGTTTGTATATTTTTATTATTCTCTCTTTTTACTTCCTTGTACGAAGTAAAAAGGAAGTATTGTAATCACGAAAAGTTTCAGGCAGCATATTTCAACGAAAATATCCATTTCGACCGCTATCAAATGCAATTTAACGATGCTTTTGCGTGATATCTGTACGTAAGGACAGAATAAAATACTCTTTTACTCCAAAAAAATTATAAAACTGCTTTAAAATGAATTCTGAAGAGAATGTTTTCGTTGGCGTCTGTACGATACGTACGTATCTCGCATAACTCAAAAACAAGTAGCCTCAGAATGTTGAAATTTTGTATATAGGACTGCTATAACATGTAGATGTGCACCTCATATTTTGGTTGGAGTCGGCCGCACCAAATGTATATAAATATATTTATATATATATTCACTCTGCTACCCGAATCGGTGATCTCAGTTTCTTTACTGTTATATGTTTGTAAATTGTACATTTTTTGCTTAAAAAATGATTGAATTATGTTGTTCTTATCATCTGGTTAAGGTTTTTATGCCTCTAGTAAATCTGTATTCAATATTTTTAGAATTATCAACAATTTTAAAGTTGTTTAAGTGCCGCTAAGCCTAATAACTTTTTTGATGGCGGCCATAGCTTGTTTACATTTGAAACAGCAGAATAGTAGATTTATTGCCAATCTAAAGAAACTTAGCTTCGCAACAACAAAGATAATGCCTTCATTTATTATTGCGAATTAAATCATGCTTAATCCTTTCTGGAATTTTTTCGAGGAAATAAGTGTTTAAGATTTACTTTGTAATTTTTAATACAGATATTTTGAGTTTTTATGTATTTTTGCCTTGTCGCGAAGTGAGAACTGAATTAATTGAATGAGAAATACTCAATCGTCTGTGAAAAACTGTTTCCTTTTTGTTTTGTTTGCTTAATTTCTTTTATACATCATTCTAGCTTTATTATAGTATTTGAATAGAACATGTGACAACGATTAGATAATTCTTTAACTGATATAAATTTTGTGCATTCTGAGTTATAATATTTGTAAATAGTTTTTACTCTTGTGAAACATTTTAATGTACTGCAAATTGTGTTTTTCATCATTTTACTTACCAATTATTGCTTATCAGAAGAACAATTTTTATGAAATTTTAAAAATGCCTTACAGTACATCCTGCAAGAGATGGCGCAACCAGAAGCTCCAGTCAACTAAAATGCTTTTGATTCACTACTAATAGATGGCGCCACACGAACACTTCATTTGTTCAGAAGTTTACTTATTCTATGGACGGCAGGCACAGGAGACCTCCGTCGCTAGTAATCTCTGAGTTCTAGCACAGCATGTGTACAAGTACTTCCATATTATTGGATACAAATTACTCGATTCTTCAAGCATTTAAAAGTCAAGTATCATATATTGGTAAAGGCTGTTAATGGTCGATTGCCTCTTACTAAGTGATAAGACATAGACATACTTATAATATGAACGAAATATAATACTGTTAAGTGAACCTAGCGCCAGAGTGTCGCTATGGTCAACAAATAGAGTGAATTTTAAAGAATGCATTTATTCTATTGTGGTTTATGCATTGTCTCCGAAGTAGATTTAATTCAGTCCAATAAGTTTAAATGAAATGCAAGAAAAAAATGCGTATAATTTAATATTCCGTACAAGGAAGTCATGTGGTGATTTTTAAAAGATCAGATTTTTTAAAGCTTATTTTAATTCTTCCTTTCACATTTTGAAATTCAGTTTCATTCCAAATAAAATTCACCAATTTTTTATGATTTACTTTTAAATAATTTTTATAAATTTTCAAAAAAATGTTGAATTATAATCTAAAAATTTTTTACCAAAAATCTTAAAGTAGACATATTTCTTAGCATATCTGCAAAAAATTACAGCTTTTTATTCAAAATTTCCGAAGATATACGTGAATTTATATATTGGCACGTTTTTAAATTTGGCATATTTGTTCGTGATAAGACATCACATGTGGTTTAGAAACTTTGCTAAAATTTTTTGAAAGAAGGAACAATGTAACTTTTTTTCCGCTCATGCATAATATAAGAAGGTAGGAACGAGGTGCCTTTTTCTCCACTCCGGCATAATGGAAGGGAAAGGAAAATTGTTTACCATATATTAAGAAGTTCACCAAGTGAATTATTCTTGGCGCAAGCTGAAAAAAATTGTGAGACAATAAATTTTTGAATTTCTCAGTAAATTTTGTACCAAATTTTACAAAATTTAATATCTAGGCATAATTTGAATCATAGAATCAAAATATGGAAAAAAAATTGGTATGTTATTTCAGAAAAAGTCTGATTTTGTGTCAAAACACATATGTTAGAACAATGCTATAAATAAATCTAATATATATTCGAAGTTGTACTTTCGAGACATGAAAAACGCAATTTGAATTTTGTCAATCAGCCCAGTCGAGAGGTAGATCTCCTCCCCCCGGCAGTGTACATGGCTATTTCTTGGTGATTTTGATATTGGGAAACATTTTCTAAATAAAATCACAGTATGATTAGAGGCATTCACTAGCAGATTATGATTAAATCAAAAGGCAGAAGTTGGATACATAATTATTTTAATCCTACTGCATTTTTTATATAAGTATCATGAGAAAAAAATCATTTATGCCTCTGTATAATTGTTATATTTTGAAAGCTAACAAAGTTATTAGAATTTTAGTGCTACACCCAACATGGGTTGTATGTCATAATTTATACATTTTTAAATTTAAACCAATAGATTTAAATTTTTTAAGGAGAAAGAGGATACAAAACAAGAGCTTTAAAATCTCTGAAAAGGACAAAATTATTACTAATTCTTTATTTTATTATTACTAATTTAGTTATTTAAATTGCAAAAAACCATTTTTTCAATTTAACATTCTAAATTTGCACATCTTTATATGTAAACTAAATCCATTTTATTTCATACTTTTAAATGAAATTGACCAGCAGCTTTCATTTATTTGCAGTATTAAATTTCTCTTTACTTAATGTCATCCATGTAACACATTATTTAAAATTAATTTACTCCAAAATGCCTAAAAATTTTCAATATGTCAAATTTGAAATAAAAATCAACAATACTGAATGAACACAGTTTATTTCTAAAAAATATGTGTGCTTTGGGATAATTAATTTTTCCTATACATAAAATTCCTTCATTTTTGTTTTCAAATAATAATGTCCTGCAATAAGCAATATACACAACATTTAACAGAAAACCTTATTATATACAAGGAAAATGGTAACAAATTTTCTCTTCATAACTGATGATCACTGTATCCTGGATCTTCATGATGCCTTTAAATTCTGGAGGGAAAAAATCATCCTCATTACTTTGATAAAAAAAAAAAAAATGGAATAAGCCAACATTATAAAAATAAGCACCATAATAAATAAGATCATTATAATAATAATTAACATCCCAGGTATATAGGTACAGGTATAAGTGAGGCAGGACACCAGTTATTTACCACTGGTAATACAGATGTAATCCTGCCACACTAGCTCCATCACAGCTTTGATGCAGAACACCCATGGTCAATTTGAGGCTTACCACCCTCTTTCCCTACCACCAATCACGCAAGAGGACTTTTCACTTGCCATGCATTTTGGATACCCCTTTGCCAAACAGATCCCACACACTTATAAACACCCATGCCTTTCTCTAGGATGCGAACCTGAATCCAATGATGCAGCAGCCAGGAACACTAACCACTATACCACTCAGAGCAGCATCCCAATTCTACAGATACAAGTTGAAGCAAGGCTGGCGCCTGTACATCCATGAGGTCATATTAGTAATTGCTGAACCTTACTAACTGCTAACCTTCTGCCTCATTTCCAAAGAACATCCTGGGGATGGTCCAAAGGTCTACCATCACTGATCTCCTGTCACCAACCTCTTAAAAGGATTTCGGCTTTTACTGTATTTGTGCTCTTTGCTGCACAAACACTAAATGCTTACAAACATCCATGGCTTCTCAAAAATTCGAACCCAGGCCGTTCAGTATGGTAGTCAGAATCATAAACCACCGTTTTGTCTGGACAGTACCCCAATTACATGGTAAAAGTGATAGTCAAGCATCCGCTAATCTGGCACGTCAACAACACTACTGCCTAAGAGATTATGCCTCTTGAGTATTTTCATTCTGCAAAGGCATGGCAGTTTTTTAAATCTTATCGTCATTTTCAGCTAGTATTTCTTTCAATATTTCAAGTTTATATATTGATTATTTTACTTATTTAGAATGTTTTCAAAATCTGAAAGAAATATTAACTTATGAATAAAATAAATATATTAAGTCACTAGACAAGTTGGATAATATTAACACAATCTGTGTTCAAGGAATTATTTGAAACTTTAAATGTAAGTAAAGGAATACACTTGTGTAAAATTTATTAAACTCTGATAGTAGCATTAAGAATTTCCAAAGGCTGATCATTACTCAGCAAAAGACTGCTATCTGTACCATACAAACTGTGCTCTGCAAAGAGGGTGGCGAAAATGGTTGCTGGTACTCATCAGTGGGAATCAACCAATGCTATCCAATGTGCTATAGCCTCTTCCATACTACCTGTGGCACCTTCCACCACCTAAACAGCAGTTGGCTTAGGTAGGCTGCCCTCACAGTGACCTTTAAAACATGTTTTTAATCCCACAACATCGACAAAGTCATTTGGAGTGGTGTCACTGTCAATCATAATGGCTGCCAGCAGACTGTCATCGCATAGTTTTCAGCATTGAATCCCGCTTCAGTCTTGCAGTAAATAATCATTACATCCATGTGTGGAGGGGCCAGCAGTCCCAATCAACCTTTGCTTTTCAAAATTTTCAAACGCACTTAGCCATTACCCCTCATGTGATGGTGTGAGGTGCTATCTCTTATGACAGCAGGTCAACTTGTATGCAGGATGACTGACTAGTCATCCTGCATACAAGTTTAACAGCACAATGGTATGTTCATGACATCCTGTGGCCATTGTGTTACCCTTTGTGGTATAGGCATTCTGGAGCCATTTACCAACAGGATAATGCGACTTGCATACCTCTGAACTGTCTCCAAGCTATTGATATTCTTAGACAGCAATGTCATCAAACGTTTCGACTTTCAAATATGAATGGGATACAGTAAGCCATCAGCTTTGAGCATTCCAAAATATTGCAGATCTGGAGCAAAAATTGAGGAATGTCTGCCAAAATGTATTGCAGGATGAGATTAGGAGTCTTTATCACCCCTTACCTCAACGTTTAGAAACATGCATCATTGTCAAGGAAGGTTTCACCAATTTTTTTCTGAACAATCAGTATACAATTTTGCTAGGCACTGATGTGTCCTATAGCCTTGAATTTTTAGCCATTTCATTACCTTGGCATGAGCTTTATGCATACTTAATTTCAATAAAAACAGCCACTTTCTTCTTGGTGCCTTTTGGGGGGGAAGACAAAAGAGTGTTTTGTTGAGTTGAAAGTCCTGCTTGTGGTAAGAAAAAAGAGGAGAGACAGACCAGATTTGTCCTCTGCAGTATCCTGCATCAAAACTGGAAAGTAGTTTTTCTTTTCTAGTGAGGGCAATTTCGTTGCCCCTTAATAACATCTGGCCATTTCCATCACTGTTTAACTAGCGATTATCCAGCCACTAGGGAGGAAAAATTGTTAAAAGGGGATGGCAGCAGCCACAAAACTCTAAAAAGGCAAATAAGTTTCATTTGCAGGTTTATAATGTGATTATTATTACAATTTTCATATTGTTAAAAATATGAGTTAATCACAAAATTAGAACATGGTGATAAAAAAAAGTCATTTAGCATATGATTCTACTACTATACGAACACTTGGTCTAAAATCTAAGTCGATAAAAGTGAGCTAATGGAAAATATATAAACAATTCAAAAGAGAGAAGCAATGTGTCGCTGCTTCGCTGGAGTTGCTTGGCACTTATCGCTGCTACTCTCGCATTCGAGCTTTGGAGTTACTGCGAGCTGGTCGCTTGGTGAAGTGTTCCTGATCGATCGTGCGCGTAAGTAGTTTTCAAGTTTGGTTTTTGATTTTTCCAAGTGTTTTCATGATGGACTTGCCTTTCCGTTAGGGACGGTAGGTTTTTTGGACTGTTGCAATGAATCCCAACTTACAGTACATTCAGACTTTAAACTTAATTAATGATAAAAATGTTATCGAAAATCTTATTGAAAGTGGTTCAGAAGAGGAATTAGATGCTATATCTACCTATTTGCAAATCCAAAAAAATCTTATTGATAGTGGTCAAAAAATAGTTGATCCAGAAGTTGAAAAATTATTTCAGGTTATGGTAGCCAAACTCTTCAGTAAACGGCAATTAAAAAATGTTAAATCTTCAAAGGAAATTGATGAGATTGTAGGAATTGGTCAGATTCTTACCCAACAAAACATGAATAATGTCAATGTGCAAGACAATAACTCTCTTAAGCAGGGCGAAACTTGGATTAAACCCAAAAAAAAAACGCACAAGCGTACTTTAAGTGTTAGCAGTAACTCATCTGTTACAGCAATAAAAAATAGATATTCTACCCTTAGAATAGATGACGGCATGGAAGTCAATCAAACGCCCAACACAAACCCTCAGGATATGGACCAATCAGAAGAAGGCGAATTCATAGCCCCTAGAAAAACTGCAAACCGTGTACCGCCGATTATAATATCTGATGTTACGTCTTGGAAGCCCCTTAGAGATGAAATTAAAAAATTTACCACAGCTATGGAGTGCGTACAAAAAGGTGGAGACATCCACATAAAAGTCAAATCTGACGATGACTATCGCTCAGTCACAAAATTTTTGGATAATAAGGAAATACCTTATCACACTTTTCCCCTACCAAGGGATAAGCCCATTAGAGTAGTAATAAAGAAGCTTTCAGTGCATACTAAACCTGAAGAAATATTAGAAGAACTCCAACAATTAAAAATTCCAGTTAAAACGGTTAGACAGATAACCAAAAAGATTGACAATGAAATTGTCAAATTGCCAACTTTCCTTGTAGAAGTCCCACGGACTGTTGAAGGAAAAAAGATATTTCAGGTAACACATATCTTGGACCTTGCGGTCAAAATTACCTCTTTCCAACCAACCCCAGGACACAAACAGTGCCATAACTGTCAGAGATATGGACATAGTCGCTCCCACTGCAAACATAAACCAAGATGCTTAAAGTGCGGATTAAACCATATCACCACTAGCTGTACAAAAGATAGAAATCTTCCAGGAAAGTGTTGCCTTTGTGGGGGACCCCACGTCAGTTCCTACAGGGGTTGCGAAATGCACCCTGACAATATTAAACGTAAGATTGCTGAAAAAGAAAATCAAAGAGATGCCTGGAGAAAGACAAGAACAAATCCTCCAGAAAACAACTTAGGAGAACTTCCCCCCATTACCGAGTAGGAGAAACACTAACGAAAATGTTAATGAAGCCAGTCCCTCATCAGCCAACCAGAATGAAGCTCACGAAAGAGAACAATTAGGCTCCGCCCCGGATTTCCTGAAATGGATCAAAAATCTATTTACTCAAGGCAAAGCGCTATTTGAACGCTTTTTTAAAGCCAAGTCAATAATGGAAAAGCTCCAAATAGGGTGGGAAGCCTTTGAACTTTTAGCAAATTTAAATTATGAATGTTAATATTGTAAATAACTATGCAAGCATCCAACTTACTGCCTCCAGCAGTTTAAATTTCGCCTTCTTTAATGCCAACGGAGTTCGCGGCAAGAACACTGAGATCATAAACTTTCTTAATTGCCATGACATTGATATTTTCTTAATTAACGAGACACATCTTCGAGCTAGTGATAAATTTAACATCCAAGGTTATAGAACCTTTAGAAAAGACAGAGAAAATAACAGGGGCGGTGGCACCCTGATTCTCATCAGAAGACACTTGCAGGCCACCTACTTTTAATCTCCCAAGTTCTAGTAATATTGAAACTACTGCCATCATAGCTCACTCTCGCACTAATGAACCTATTGTGATTATTTCTGCTTATAATCCCCCGGGACATAATATCAGCAACAGTGACATGAGCATCTTTAGCGGCATTATGCTTCCCACAATACTAGCCGGAGACTTAAACGCGAAGCATCACTCCTGGAACTCTCGACGTGCAAATGCAAACGGGAACTTCCTTCATAATTATGCCCTTACAAATGATTTAAGTATCTTTGGACCAACGGATCCCACCAGATACAGCCATACTGGCAGCGCTGAAGTTCTTGATATTGTTATCACAAAAAATATTGCACAAATTCCCTTCCTACAAGTTTCACACCAGCTAACTTCCGATCATCTCCCTGTCAGATTTACTTATTACGGCTTTGAAAAAAATATTCCACTTAGAAAAATCACAAACTGGGATAAATTCATTCATTCTCTGGAAAAACTACCAGCGCATCCTGCTTTAGCCGATATTACTGACATTGAGTATCAAATCACTAAGGTCAATAATTGTATAAAAAAGTGCTCTTGACAAATCTACTAAATATGAAGAACATAAAAAAAGAAAAACTTCCGGATGAACATTATTGACAAAATTAAGGACAAAAATCGCACCGCTAAAATTTGGCGCCGTACTGCTGATCCTAATATCAAAAGAATTCTTAACAGAAAAAATAGGAATATTAAAAATCTTCTAAGTGAATACAGATCTGATAGTTGGAATAATTTATTAGACTCAATGGACTTCAACCCTGATACAGTGTGGCGTATTGGGAAAGCGCTCAGAAAAACTCATAGCGACAACATTGGACCGTTGCACACCGATACTGGAATCGCATATTCTGAAAAAGATATGGCAGAAGTTCTTGCAACACATCTTGAAAAAACCTTCACGACAAATAACTCACAAGATGAAGATACAGAAGAGGAAGTTTTTAATTTCATTATTCACCTTCCTGATAGAACAGATGGACAGCATATTGGTTACACCTCGCCCATTGAAATTCAAAACATTATAAAAAATCTGAAAAATAGAAAGGCCCCCGGCTACGACGGGACGGATAACAAACAATAAAGTGCTCAAAATTCTCCCCAAGGGATATATTGTCCTAATTACCAACATAATTAATGCCTGCATAAGGCTTAACTATTTTCCGCAGCAGTGGAAAATGGCACATATCATTACTTTTGTTAAACCTGGCAAAGATCCAAAAAATGTTAACTCTTATCGCCCAATTAGCCTGCTTCCAAGTCTTAGCAAAGTTTTTGAGCGAGTTCTACAGAAACGGCTGACCAGACACTTGGAAGATAGAGGGATAATTCAAAATGAACAGTTTGGTTTTCGCCCACAGCATAGCACAGTACATCAACTTCTCAATGTTACTGAATTTATTGCCGATTCCTTTTCCAAAAAGAATACTATTGCAAGCTGTTTCCTAGATTTAGAAAAGGCATTTGACAAGGTGTGGCATGAGGGACTCCTCTTTAAGCTACACCTTGCTCATCTGCCTATAAATTTTATCAAACTAATGCAAAGTTATCTAAAAAATCGCAATTTTCATGTCAAAATCAATAATACTTTATCCTCAAGAAAAAGAATCAAAAGCGGCGTCGCCCAGGGAAGTGTTTTGGGGCCAATTCTCTTTAATATCTTTACTAATGATATGCCAATCCCACTAAATTCAAAACTTGTGAAATATGCAGATGACACCGCTATTTTTACAAAATCTTTAAAACCACAGTTTGCCGTAGACAAATTAGAAGAAGCAGTTAACATCATCGCACATTACCTCAAATCTTGGAAACTTAAAGTCAATCCGACTAAATGTCAAATTCTGCTGTTTAGAAGGTATAGAAAATTTACTCCAGTAAACGTAAATATAAAGATAGAAGATCAGCCACTCCCCGTCGTCAATAGTACTAAATACCTGGGTGTCATTTTCGATTCACAACTCTTCTTCAAGGAACAGACTGCATATGCCTTACGGAAAGCTACAGCCGCAAAAATGGCTCTGTACCCCCTCATCAAAAGAGACTCAAAATTAAACATTCAATTAAAGAAAAGAGTTTACATGATGCTGATTAGACCGACACTACTTTATGCAATTCCCATATGGGCTACAGTGTTCAAAACGTACAGACACAAGTTACAAGTCTTTCAAAACAAGATTCTAAGAGAAATAGTTAATTCTCCTTGGTTCGTTAGAAATTTGCAAATACACAAAGAATTAAAAATCAGACCAATTGCTGACCAAATTATTTCAACCTGCCACAACTTTTATAGTAAAATTGAACAGTCTCAATATGATCATATTAAGGAACTAATCAATTATGATCCAACACTTGAAAATGCTGCTAAGCGTCCTAGGAGCATTTTTCATAATCCAATCAAATAAAAAACTCAGTGGATTATTACTTTATATCATTATTTTCAAGAATTTTATATTTTATTAGTGTTCCTATAAAAAGACTTTGTTAGGAACACACAAACTGAATTAATTATGTGTGTTTCACCATCCCGCCTTCTAAACTGTGACTTATGCTGAAATATTGTGTCTTTTAAAATTATACAAGTGTTTCTTAAAAAGTGTGTTTATTCCAGAACTTTGTACAGTGTGAACTGTTTGTGAATACTGTTAATTTATATGACTTTAACATTTCTCGTACGAGAACTCTTGAAATTCACCAGAAATATGTTACTGTTGACTTATTCCTCATTTGAGCCACTCCCACCAGTATAATTACGATCCATTTCATTCTGAACCTGTTTCAAAAGCATACTTAATTTAAATTACTTAATGTTTATTTTTTCAAATGCTTTATTAAGCATACTTTTCAGCTAGTTATATCTTTTTGTCACAGCTCGAACAGCTCCCAGATGCTTTCTCACTCTACATACCTTTGTATTTGCTTCAGCTTCGCCTAGTAGTCGTGGCGTTACACGCCCATTTTTTCAATTATATATACCAACGCCTAAGGGCATCTTTTTCAAAAGCGGTGGTTAAAGCAGCAGAGGCTGCTAATTGCCTCCTAACCATTCAAAAGACAAAGAAGCAATGTGTAGCTATCCAACCTTAGCAGAGTAACTGAGCAGTACACAAAGTTTTTAAGAAGTTTTTAAGTGAAGTAGCATCTTTTAATGATGCAGCTTAACCCAGTCAGACTCATATCCAAGTGTAACCAAGTGCATACGGGAAAACTAAAATATTATAATTAACAGAATGGCTATCACTTCGTATTTCATATCACTTATAACATTCCGTGATATAAAAATAACTTGAACTAAAGGTTTGTGATACGAAAATGAAGAAGGTATCTTTCTATACCATACAATCACCAGAAGCATATGCTACTTTTTGGTTATAAAAAAAGTGTAATGGAAAAAGGTCATTTAATGGTCTGCCAATTAAAATGGAAAAATAAGATGCCTCCTACTCAAAGTACAACTTCATCAGCCAATGATGATAATGCTCTTCTTAAATTATAGACTTCAATTTGGAATATTACACAGTTAAGAGGCTAATTAATAAAGATCATACTATAATCCACTTAAGAACCATTTCAAATCTGCATTGAGCAAAAGTGATCATTTGGTCTGTTATGGTATATTGTTACAGTAATGATAATGCATGCCTATACACAGCTAGGTTGAAGAAGGGACATCTGTGGTCTGTTCTACATCCTGCAAATTAATAGATCTTACAATGAGTAATTATCATGGGCATGTGAGGGAGACACTAGCAGATTTAAAACAGAGGTGAAATAAAAGGGAAATTGTACACCATTACTGCATAGGAAAGTCACCATTCTAAGAAACTAGTACTGGCATATCAGTACTTAACATGATAAAGCCAAAGCAATAAAATGTTATAAATCCTAGGTGCACATTTCTGTTAACAATACTAAAAAAAATTTCACTGCTTTCTTTCCTTATAATTGTTTTCTTCAAAAATTGTTATAAAACAAATTTGACTATTCTGCAAGAAAATAATTTAATTTGAATATTTAGTGTTTGCTTAATATTTATATTTATTTTTCAATGCTATTAAATTTAGGTTTTTACCAGTTGCTGAGAAAGAAGATACTGAATCAGCTGAAATGTTCTGCAACAAGGTACAAAAACAGATATGCAAAGAACTTGGACTAGAGGTAACAACATTCACATCAGCAGATAAAGTCGAATATACCAAGTACATACTTAAAGAGGATGGCAAGCATTAATTCAGAAATAAAATGTAGAACAACAATTTTGTTCTCTAGGACCATACAGTCTGTGATATTACAAGAATATGTCATCAAATATGGCCAATATATATTTACTGAACTAAGTCTTTACTCCCCCCCTTTTTTTTTTTTTTTTTTTGTAAATTATACATTTCAGAAAAACTTAAGTTCTGTTTAAAGAACAATGTTATTTTAATGTTCATATGCAAAAAATGTTTTGTATGTATGTTTGTATATTCTTCACACTGTCGAAAAACTACACCACCTAAAGCCATCATATTTTGAACTTTGATTTTATTTATTTCATATTTTGTGCGAATAAGGAACTTTTGATTTAAAAACTAAAGCATTTTAAAACTTTGTGTTGCCACTGAGCAAAATGTAATATATCTGTTTTTTTTTTTTTTTTAAATTTAATTGTGTTGTAGAAAATGGCAGCAACTAGGACCCCTAAATTTTGAACACACATAATCCTCTACCCGAACATGTGCACCTTGAAGCCCTAATTTTTTTTTAAATTTCATATTTTGTTCAACATGGAATATGAAATGAAATGTTTCATTAAAAACTGCAATGTAAAAGCCTTTATATTGCCGCTCAACAAAACATATTTATGTTTCAAATTTATTAAGAATTTGGTGATAATAAAAGATGTGTATTCCTACTTAGCAAAGTTATTTGTCTTTCAAATTTAATAAAAGATCTCATTTAAAAGAAATATTTTGTGACAGTCCAATATAAAATATTTTAATTTTTCACATACCAGTTTGTTACCATTAGGTGAATTGTATGCTATTTCATTTTTCTTTCAAATTTATTGTGCTATTTAATTAACAAACTAAGCTAAATAATAAACAGATTCATTTCGATTATTGTTATTTGCCAGGTGTGCATGTTAAAATGCATTAACTGGATCGAGCAAAATTATACATATATTATTAAAAAGGGTTTTTCGTATATCATCTCCAAGAAACAGAAATTTAATTAAAATGATAAATTATTGGAATAAATTTAATCAATATTTAAAAAACTTACTTTTAAATTTATAGAGTTTTACTTCAAAAACTATCATTCTATAGAATATATTCACCATGCATGGAAAAGCACTTTAATTACACATATTTGAAAAACTCAGATTTGGCTTAAATTCATTTTATAATACACAGTTTAAGTTATTAAACTATTTGTAACATGACTAAAATGTAAAATATTTGAACATTTAATTAGGTATTCTAAATTTCATGTTCTTTGGTTAAATTCATTGAGTTTTTCTTACTGAGAAAATCCTGAGTAGGAAATGACAGCTTTTACTCACCAAATAACTTTTAAATATGATGAAAATAAAATTAACTGTGTAGATAAACTTGGTATTGTGCTATATAATTATGCAAAATAAATACAAATATTAACACTGATTAAACACTGGTTGAATCTTCATAAAAAGTTCAATAAATATCTACAGTAGATTAAGAAAATTCAGATCAAATAAAATATGATAAAAATTATACTAATTTTTAAGTTTCATTTATTTGTAAGAAACATTTTCCTCAGTAAAAACTAAAAATTAAAAACCAAAATTTTTTTCAGTGATATGTTCAATTAAATTTATTTGCAATTTTTTCATTCATCTTGCACCCCCAAACAGGGTTGCGACCCACAGATTGAATATCATTGATATGGAGTGTCGCTTCACTTGTGAGTCTGAATTTAGACCAACGACTGGAAGGAATAATGTATATAAAGGCTCAAATGAAAAAATAGACAGAAATTGATCCCATTTGCTACCAAGAATGGTATGACCTAATCCAGTACATTTCTTTACCATAAAAAATACACAAAATTACTTGGCAACCCCGTAATGGACAGAACCAGATAGACCATATACTTATTGATTCTAGACATGGATCTGATATTAGCAATATAACAACTTACTGTGGCACTGTTTTTGATTCTGGACACTTTCCCATAATGTCCAAAAATCAGTGCACACTGTCCAATTCCTAAAAGATTGAAGTGGTAAAACAAAAATGCTACAACTGTGGGCAGTTAAAGCACCAAGATACAAGATTAAAATTTCAATTTTATCTCAATGACAAGTTGAATTCAGCTGATGTTGAATTCATTAAAAATCTGCAATTAAGAATACATCTTTTGCCAGAAAAGTTCCAGGACAAAGGACAAATCTTATGGCACATATCACAAATCAAATTCAGTTCTGATATCATACGCACATTTACACAACATTCTTCTTACAACAACTCCATGTTTGCATCGGTGTGTGCTGTAGATGAGCGACCAGCTCTGGGATTGTCTTGCACTGAATCTCTGCCTTCATGAAACCTTTTGTCAAAAACACGACTTCTTGAAAGTGCCTAGCCTGCATATGCTTGCTTAATCATGTTCCACATTTCATTAAGGGTTTTCCTGGGCTTAATGCAGAATTTGTTCACTCTTTGCTCATAATTAGCATCCACTGTGTCACCTTAAAGAATGCGACAATCCAAACAGTGTGTTGCCAAGAGCAGCCCTCCTTACTATGTCCTGGAACTGTTCTGACAAAGGATGTGCTTTCCATAGTACAAGAAACTGCATTCTTGGTGACAAGTGAAAATATTTATAAAGATTGGTTTGATATAGAATGTGAGCCTGTTACAAAAAAAAAAAAAAAAAAAAAAAAAAAAAAAAAAAACTACAGAGAAAATATTCAAGGATCTCAGTTCAAGTTTTTAGGGAGGCAAGAAGGCAGAAGAAGATGCCCAAGAAGAAAAAGAGAATTTTTTAGAGACCTACATCGGTGTGTCTCTAAAAAAGGCGCTCAACATCATAAGATTTGAAAATGGTTCCATAAAAAAATTATCCTGTAAATAAGCACATTGGTCAAAAAAGATCTGCTAACAACAGCAGCTTTACTAATTGACAATGCACCATGCAATATTCTTCTAAGCTATCTTCTGATGCTGGAAAGATCATTAAAATGTTCCCTCCTCATCCATTGTGATTTCAATGATTCAGCCAGAATAATCACAGAAGTGTCACATGAAAAACGAAATGCATATGCAGGAAACATTTTCTGCACATAATACTTGAGAAAAATGGGAAACTTACAAGCTTTTGGAAAAAACTAACCATTTTAGATGCTGCAATCTTGATTCTTAAATTATGGAGTGAAATTAAAACCTCTACTCTAATTCAGAACTGGGGGGGGGGATATCCCTGATATCATAAAGGAAAAAGCAACTTTTTTGCAGCATCAAAAATGTTGTAGCAACAAATGTTTTTGTTGTTGAAATCGTTTCTAGCAGTCTTGATTTTGAACATATAAATGAAGAAAATGTGGGAAAATGGCAAAAACATGAAAACTATAAATTCTGCTTAAATCAAAATATTGTAGAAAAGTCACTAAGGAGGTACAGTAAATGTAAAAAAGAAGGAGGTGAAATTGTAACAAATGTAAACCTCAACGATGTACAAGAAATTATAGACAGCCTCTTTTAACTTCATGACTTACCTTATCCGTACATGTACATTATTTAAAATATCTGAAATTTTTAGAGGATTTTGGACTATCAACGAATACCTAGGACATAATTAAAATAGATAATGTGGAGTTGAATATATTCTAAATTATATTAATGATTAAGATACAATAACATGCCGAACAAGTATTAATTTAGAGGTCAAACAACAAAAATCAGCAATATATTTTAAAATTTGAAAATACAATGCTGATTTTTGTTGTTTGACTTCTAAATTAATATATTAATGTTATTTTTCAGAAAACAAATATATTTAAAAGACAAGCAGTATATCCATTTTTAACACAACAAAAATTACTTTCAGAAGATACATAAAAGTGTTGGGAAAGTCTGTATAAGTTGTCCAAGTGGGTACAATAATAATGAAGAAGAAAGGAAGCAAATGCATTTTCCTTTATGCTACATATACTTGCTTAAACAAGAGCCTCCCCTTCCAAACAAAATAAGTGGTAATGCTATGTCAAGAGTGAATTACATGACTAATAAAAAGAGATGAAAGGCAACACTAGATTATACATTATAACATGCTATATTAAAAAACTGTATAATTTTATCTATTAACATTGTTTTCTTTTCTCTTGTTTAAAGAAGCATTTTTGTGAAAGTTTCAAGATGTTACGAATGACAGATTTTATATCAAAATTTTAAATATTGGAGATATAATGATTAAAAAAATAACACAAAAAAATTTTAATTCACAAATCTTGGAAAAATCATAATTGTAAATATTCAAATACACTTATTTTAAAAATATACTTTCTGATCTATCTGGTAATGAAAAAACATGAAATTTAGCTACAAGCAGTTTGATTAGTAAGTTAAGATACCTTCAAAATTAAAAGATAAATTAATTTTTGAAAAACTAGTTGAAATGCACATTGTATCCTCTAAAGAACGAGTACTAAATTTTGTACATCTAGTCCTTTATATTTCTGTTCTGTGTAATACACATACATGCAAACTCTTCTATTATTGTAGAGTATATATTTACAGTTATATGCAAATTATTTTTCATCCACTCGTAAAAATAATCAATTTTATTCTTCTATAAAGTTGCATTTTCTAAAGATATGTTTCATACAAATGAAACTCTTAAATTAATTATAGTTCTGCATTTTATCTTAGTGATATTAAAAAAAAGAAAAATCATTTTATGTATTTTTAAGGGAAAATATTACATACAGCATGATAATTGTGTTTTACTTTTGAATGACCTTTTAAAAATATAGCTGAAGTTATTTTAAATTTCTCACCTATTCTATTCATACAGTCGGGCATACAGATCCTGAGTAAGTCTAATATATGCTTCTTTCTCCTCTGGAGTCATTTTAGCTACAATTTCTTCTGTAACTTCAGTTAAAGCATATTTCTGGTCTCCAACAGTAACCATTAAATGATCGTCATCATCACTCTCCATTTCACCTACTTCTGCAAATAAAAAATACATTCTAAAAACAGAGTGAAATTTTAACCACTAGAACTTCAATAAGTCAAACTGAATGTTCAAGTGCAAAATTAGAAATTAATGTTAAATTTCCAAAATAAGTCAACTTTTTGATCATTTAAAATTTTTTCGATGTTTTTCACGAATTTCTCTTTAAAACAAATCTCAAAATTTAACACACAAATTGTTAATGTTTGCAATATTTCATATCCTTTCATTTATATTTATTACACTTAAATTAGGATGACAGAAAACAGACTACACTTCTAAATATTAAAGTGAAAAGAATAGTTACATGAAGTGGTGAAATTCATTAAGATTAACAACTACTTTTTATTATGCTGTCACCATGGACAAGAACTTGGGAGAACAGCAATGAGCTTTAAGTAAACTATCACTTTTGTTTATTGTTTGTAAATAAAAATCTAATTCATTCATAAACTTTACGGTTGAATGTTAATTACAAATACTACTAATTTTTTTATCATTTTCTTCTCCCATACAATGCACAATGATAACTAATATATGCTCATGTACACATCAGTTCTCATACTTTGATTTGAAAATATTGCATCAATCACAGAATTTCTCTCACTCAGTTCTGCTCATATAGTGTTTCATATTCACAAATCCATGAATTAACAATCACAACACTTTTAAAAGTGGCATATCTTTAGAATTCTCAATAGACTGTTAAGAGTTGTCATACATTTCTTTTTACATTTAGTATATTATTTATATCTATTAAATGATTTCTTTAAATATAATAAGATAGTGATAGTATTTGGTTGCAGTATTCTTTTATTTAAAAAATGATTACACACAAAAGAGAAACAAATACATTGAGAATTGAGGCTAATGCATTGAACTGTGTCATAACAAGAACTTGTCTTCATGATATCTAGCATAACTCCAAGAATACATTTAATGCTTTACGATATTTTGTTCTCAATCTAATACCTATTTTAAATACCTAATTTGAGAAGTTTTGGTTTACCTCATAATATCTTATTTTACGAAAGTTTGTTCACAGCTTCAAGTAAAGTACAACTTCCAGTTTATCAATTTTAGCTAAAATTTACTATGTTTTTTCAATTGATATAAAAGTATCTTAAATACTAAAATTAAAAAATCTAGGATTATATTTTAGTATAGTTTTTCATTAAAAATTATTATGGGTTTCAAGTAAAGTACTACTTCCAGTAGTCCAGTTTTACTCAAAATCTAATGTCAAAAACATAACTTTTTGGGAGTTACGATGGACGGAAGAATTATCATACACACACAAACATTGTTGTAAATATAGTAAAAACTTGTTGTGAGGGCCTTCATTTGTGCTTAATCACTAAAAGCTCACTATTAAATCTGGACTGAAAACCTTATGAAAGGTAAAAACAGTGAAAGCCCTTTTTTCCATTTTGAGGGTCTGTCAAGTTCATGAGATTTTCTTGGGCTCAAAGTCCCACTAGTGTAAACAGACTTTTATGGGTTTTAAGAAAAGTACCACTTCCAGTTGTCCAATTTTAACCAAAATTTAATTAATTCTTTATATGAATGCCAATGGAATAAATACAGAAAAGGGAAATTTCATTGTTAACTGTAAACTCGCTATAATTTTTTTTTAAATAAAAAACAATGCCTCCCTTAACTATGTATTTATGTTGGCAAGAGGTGAACCATGCTTACTTTAAAGTTTATATACATGATTTAGCATTTTCTACACCAATATTACTGCATATAATAATAATTAATAGATTAATATAATCTATTAAACAAGAGATTACCAAAAGGAACAATGCTGATGTGTAAAACCATTTCACAAATGCAATAATTATCTTGCATATCTTGGATGCAGAAATACAACATGTGCGCATAGAGCTTAACTTCTACATCAACGATTTCAACAGAAAACATCAGATGGTTGATTGTGTAATAGGTTTTTACAGATTAATTGTGATAGCGATAGAAATCAATTCTAAATCGCACTTTATTTAATAGTGACTCTTCTTTGTTTCTTTGGTATCTAAAATGAGCTATTGAAAAAATGGCAGTCAATATAAGCAAAAGCTAATTTTTGCAATAAATTACCTAAATACCTGCAAATTTTAATAATCACTTCATCATCAAAATAAAGATATAAAAATACCAATAAGTCTCCAATTATGCAATGAATAGAATAGATTTAAAGTAAAATGATCAACCAATATATCTCCATCTTGTACAATGTTCAAACTTATTAAGTGCACAAGAGAACTAAACTTTTTTGACTTCTAAATTATCTCTCTCAGATAGAAAACTGAGGTGGAATTGCACGGTTAATGCACAGGACTACAGAAAACTCAGCTGATCAATGTTTATGTATGCCTGTAAATGTAAACACTGATCAGCTAGTGCTTCTGCAGTGGCTTAAAATTTAAATGTCAATTTATTTTCATTTTCTAAGGTACACATTGCACAAAAAAAAAAGGGGAGGGACAGTTTTATATCACCTGTTCTACTGGACTGATTGCAAAATTTAACTTGTGTTTCCTATGTCTTGAAAGCTCGACTTAGGATACATATTAGATTTATATGTAGCATTGCTGTAACATATGTATTTTGACACAAAAATTGCACTTTTTGTGAAATAACATACAAATTTGTTTCCATATTTCGATTCTACAACCCAAATTGTGTCTAGATATTAAATTTTCTCATTTTTCGTGAGAAATTAAAACATTTATCTTGGCACATTTTCTTCAGTTTGCGCCAAGAATAATTCGCTAGGTGAACTTTATAATTTACAGCAACTTATTTTCCTTTCCTTTTTTCATTGTACAAGGAGCGAAAAAAAAAGGTCATCGTTCATACTTTCAAATAATTTGAACAAAAGTATGTAAACCACATTTGGCATTTTATCGCTCATAACAAATATGCCAAATTTCAAAACATGCCAATATGCAAATTCTTGTATATCTTAGGAAATATTGAATAAAAACTCTAATTTTTTTCAGGTATGCTTAGAAATATGTCTACTTTAAGATGATGGCAAAAGTTTGATAGGTTATAATTTTCTAAAAAATCCAATTCCAAAATGTTTTTCTAAAAATTTATAAAAATTATTTTAAAGTACATCATAAAAAATGGGTGGAACCTAAGTTTTGAAATGTGAAAGGAAGGATCAAATAAGTTTAATAAAAAAAAAGATATATTAATAAATATATACCAAATTCAATTAACATGGAGGAGCTAAAATTTTGAGAGCTAATTTTTTAAAAACTACTCATGTGATTTTTACAAAACTTGGCATTTTGGCATAATTTGAGTCAAAGAATCAAAATATGGAAAAAAATTGGTATGTTATTTCAGAAAAAGTCCAATTTTGTGTAAAAATACCTATGTTAGAACAATGCTATATATAAATCTAATATATATACTAAGTCATGTTTTAGAGACATAGAAAGTGAAGTTAAATTTCGACAATTCGTCCAGTAGAATGAGAGATATATTACTGTCCCCCCTTTTTTTTTGTGTGTGTGCAAAGTGTACATACATAGATGCATAAATGAACATGTTTCCAATAAATACATGCATACAATTTCTGAGTCTGGTCCTGATAACATACGAGTAACAAATATATATTTTGTGTAAGTAAAAATTAAAGGTTTGGCTGAGAAAAAATTGCATATACAAGTATGCTATGAGGCAACAATCTAACAGGATTATTAGTTTTCTTCTGGAGAAATAACAATGAGATAATAATAATAATCTTAAGATAATAATGAGAATATCTTATATAGAATAAATAAGCAAATAAAATACGAATCATTAGGAATAATTTTGGTTTTGTTATGCAAAGTTATTTTATGTTTCTCTTAGCAATTTTGTTCACTTTCAAAAATCTGCAAAAAGTTACAAATTACAAGTTTGTTAATAATTTTTTTCCCAGTACCTACTCTAGCATATTTTCTCTTTTACCTGGTTCTATGAAGGATTGTGCAGGCTTTGAGCTATCTTCCGATTCACTGCTACTTTCATCATTGCTGTTGTGACCAGGTATCACTAGTTTGGTCTCAGCTCCACCTTTCCTTTCATGTGCCAGAAGAGCTTCCATGATATCATCTTGTTTGGCAAAAGATGAATTTGTTTCAACTGCAAAGTTTGAAACAGCATCATGACCCCAGGCATAATCAGATGTCTAGATTAAAAATTATAATTGAAGAAACGATGATATTTTCAATATTTAAATATCAATGGCTAAAATTAACAAGACATATAAACAAGCCATATTATATTGATAACATAATAAATAATCAATTCTGATTTTAGAAAAATTATAGCAATGTTAAAAATTGAATTTCATATCTTTTCTTTCATGCTAACGAGTATACAGAAATGTATAAGAATGAAATTGAAAATTTATAATTAGTGTACTTATGTAAAAAAGTTATTCAGTGTTTTTCACTACATTTATTAAAAAGAACGATTTCAATGTGAAAATATATCATTAATTAGCTTCACATGCAGTGATTCTTCTACTTTAAGCATAAATTTATCATGTTTTAAATTTCATGGATTTATTATTTAATAAAATATGAAGAATATCTATTAAAATATTTTTCTTAAAATATAGTAAATAAATGTTCTGTTTTAGAAACATTTTCTTCAGACATTGAAACTAAATCAATAATTAGATTTTCAATCACATAATGGAATCTTATAATTGAGTGTGGAATCACTGATTGTGGATTTGATTTGTTTTATTTTAAAATTCTAAGTAAACACTTTGAAAAATATTGCAATAATGCTGACATGTACATTATGCAGTTTATTAAAAAAAAGTCCTATATTCCCTCATCCCAATAAATAAAATGGTAAACATTAAAATCAAGTAATCCTTGGCATTACTCAATTTTAATACAAAAACAAATATGCATTACAGATGAACAAAAGGTAGGAGTACAAAATTGGAAGGAGGAGGCAATATTTTAAATGATTGATCTACTATTTAAGGAACTCGTAACTATCTTTTCCCCACTATTTCAGCAGCACCAAAAGGAAGGAAAAAAAAAGCAATAATTTTGAAAATCAATTTTATTATCTTATTACAACAAGTTAAATTTTCTAGATAAAAAGAGCCATTAGATTCAGAGCTGAAAATCTGCTGCTAAATACTCTATCTAACTATTTAATAGTAATCACTGCAGCTAATAATACAAATCGTTTCATTGTTCTAAGAATATCACAAGATCATACAGAAATTATGAAGGCATCTCTGTACATTGTCTTCATCAACCAAGTTCTGCCAAGCCAGAAATTTTACAATGAAATAGATGCAGTATTAAAAAGGATCAGATTCAGAGATTAAGGCCATTTAACCTCCTCCTCTGTATGCAACGTTAAATGTGGTTTTGCATTATTCTGAAGAAATATATGCTAATTAACAAACACGGTGTATCTCCTCTCCTCTACCTGTATGGAAGCATTTTAACTCACAAAAGCATTTATCAGCCTTAACAGCATGGCTTCACGATACAGTTTACAATTTACCAAACCACATGACAATGTCACCAAGTTTTTGTCCATGCAGGGATGCCTAAATCTTTATCCTACATTTTCTTATCATTTAACCATTTATAAAATAATACCGGATAAAACTTTTTTGGGGGAGAAGGAGGCTTTAGACATACTTCATCATATTGTCATTCTATGCTATTTTCTTCATACAACAGTTTCTCTGAATATCAGCTGAACTCTAGCTCAATATTTTACCAAAGAATCTTGAAATAAGATCTGCCACAGCTATCAAGTTGACTTAAAAGTTTGATTTTTAGGAGAAAATGAACAGTAGCTAATCTGTCTTACTTAATTATGATTCTAATATAAAATAATGTATATAAGAGCATGCATCATTGTGTACATGTACAGGAACAGCACTAGACTTTTTACCAACTGGTATGAACTCTGCAACTTCTAAATACTACCACTCTGTGTCTTCCTAAATTCTAAAGGATTTGAGCCTCTTAAATTCAGACATTTGGTACAACTGCACGATTGTACCAGCTATGAGTACATATGAAGCAAGCTCAGCTATGTTTTCTTTTTCATGGCTATTACCTACTTATGTAGTTTCATTTGTATAAATTTGTATGATTTATGAACATGGAAACCAACTCACAAAAGAAAATTCCTAATATACTATTAAAACAGCTATATTTTAGCTAATGCAGTGCTAGTCTTCTATAACTTTAATGTATTAAAAATAAACTCTGCTTTTAAATTACAAATGTTTATATACTCAGCTAATATAGTAATAAGTCTTGCTCCTTATGCAAAATATAATTAAACTTAAATCTTTAAACAACCCATTCCAAAGAACAACTACCTATTTGAATTAGAAAACACACCTATAAAGCTTATGAGTGATAGATATTCACTCTTATATGGGGAAGTAACATATCGTTAATCAAAGAGTAACATACAAAATTTCCAGTTCTTAAATGCTTGGTAAAAATTTAAATTTCTATAATATATCACCTCCTTGGCTTCTGCTTTTACAGTACTCTCAACCATCCAAATAGGTTGTTCTTTCTTTTCTTGAATATTCTTTGCATTTGATGATTCATCAACTCCAAAATTGATGGTGATGCCTTGGTTACTGATATCATAACTCTTATTTCTGGTTGCATCTCCACTCCATGTAGTATGGTTTTCATTTGTAACAGTGGCTTGATAACTATTTTTAGTTTTGTTAGTACTAGCATCTCTGTAATCCAAAATAAAGAGTTAAAAAGTATCAAGTAACAGAAGATCGAGAGATAAAAAATTATTTATGAAACATATTTAACATATCTATAATTTTATGAAACATATTCAACTTATCCATCATTTTAAATAAATATTTAAACTACACAATTAATCCTTTTAATGCACATAAATAAAAATATATTTTAACTTATTTATATCAGGTGTCCCTAGTTTTTTTCAGTTTTACTTTTCTAGAACTCGTAAACCTTCACTGACCCTTCCCTAAACAAAACTAATTTCAGGGATAAAATATATGAAGAAAGTTAGGAAACACAAAATTATTCTGGGAATTGAAATAAAATATGCTGATTTTTGCCAAAAAGAAAGGGATGGGTGTCAATTTTTTGCCTGTTGTGTAGTCTCACAAGAATCAATCTCATTTTAATGAATGTCAAGTCTGTCAAAATGCTTGTACTTTTCCTCTTAATATATAAATATTTCATGAATGACAACTTAATGAAAATGGAATACAGACTTTAATCCATTTGGTAAACAGCAACTTATAGTAAATAAGAAGGAAAAAATCCTTTAATTTTGCCTTAATCATTACAAGATGTGAAAAGTTGAGAGAGGAAATCATATTCTATGTTTGATGACACACCTACAACAGAAAAGCATAACAGTGGTATTTCAAAAGTTAATGTAGATAAAAGTTAATTATTATTATGATCCCATTCTGTAAAAGCCACAAGATTTAGATATATCACAAGTGAAAACAAGCTTCAAATGGTTGGCAGTCCTAACAATGATACGATTGTTTATAGTTTGTTCGGTACTGTTCTCTTATTGGGACTGCAGTCGTCACCAGATGCTCAGAGATTGATTTATATGAAGTCACCAAAGTTTATATTTTAAAAAAGTAAAAGAATGCATTTCAAAATTAGCAATGAGAACACAAATTCTAAAGATATAATGGTCACTTTTGTTTTTATTATTCTTGTATTTACCATGGAGTTGAAAATTTGGGACTCGCCTAATAATGAAACACCTTCTATAAAATTTTTTCGGCCCTCTGGAAGAAAGTGCAAGATAAAACATAAAATGAAGTTCTACTTCAATTCAAAAGAAGCATCAGAATGGAGATGTGAAGATCTGGATTTGAACATTTCTGCATTAAACATAAGTATAATTTTATCGATCACAATACTAGTTAATCATACTCAAACTTTTGAAAATTATGGGGCAGTGCAAAATATACTTCAATGCGGCACTGAACGTAACCAATTAGATTCTTATTCGAGTTAATGTGGTGGCAGCAGCATCCTAAAGCGTAAATCTTTTCAGACATTTTAAATTATATCCGCAGTTTCAAGGCTCCCCTTTAATCTTAATTCACTAAATTCTCCAAGCTTTTTTTTTTTTTTTTTTTTTTTTTTTTTCCAATTGCTTTGGTAAGTTGCTTAATTTACATTAAAAATTTCTAATTATATAAATATCTGTTATTTTTCCCTTGGATTTTTTTTCAACTAAACCATATCATAAATATGTTGGCGATTATTTTTATGCTTCCGAATTTTTTGTCAGATGTTCAACTTTTGGCGTTATCTGAATCTGGTCCCAATAACAGAAGAGTACCATTTGTTCGTGACAAGAAAAGCTCCGAGTAAACATGCTATCATATTTTCTTTCTTTAATATAAATGTTAACAATTTGTGTTCACTCACGATTCTCTTAATACAAGAAGAACTCTGATTATTCTATGTGTTAATGTGCTTCCTTAAAAAAAAAAAAAAAAAAAAAAAAAAAAAAAAAAAAAAAAGTTTGATTTACCGAGAAGTTTGGAAGATGCTGTTGTATCTTCCTTCCAAGAAAGATATATTTTACTCGACATCCCAAAAAAAGGAAAATGGCTATTAAATAAACTACAAATCAATGAACGCATTTGGAAGTATAACATGAAAAGTTGCAATAGAAGGAAAAGCATACATTCTAACAACTCGTTCAGTGATTTTACAATACTACTTTTAACAATGTTGCAATTTATTTACTAGTGGCAAAGAAACTGTTGTTGACTAACAGGCAGGAAAAATCCTTTAGCAAAATGCACCTATTGGGTGAAACAGTTTTTTGGAACAGATATACTCTCTATATCTAATCAAAAAACCAAATAAGCGAATAAGTGACCCACGAAAAATTGAGAACATAGAAGAAAATCTGTTCATACAAAGGTAAAGGAAATAGGCAAAGTTCTTACACAAAACTGGATATTTGGTAGGTTATGCAACGAATTTTGCGAATTCTTTCTTACTGAGGTTCTAAAAAAGGAGGACACCCCTCATGGCAAAAATCATCAACCATGTACAAGAAGGATAATTAATTTATTAAGATTGCTGACGAGCATATAAAAATAAAAAACTGGAAAAAGCAGATTAGAGATATTTTGTTTGGATTTGAAATAAATTTAATTTTGTTGATCAAATAATGGCTGCTTTTTTACAAAATGTTGAAATATCGTGGGGCTCGGCTTAATGACAGAATAAAAATTAACATGGCACAATTATTATCACGATTCTTACTCTGTGGTTGGCACATCGCAAATATGATTGGGATAAGAAAATGCTTCTGATGCTATATTATTAAAAGCAATCAGGGGAAACATGGCAGCCACAATGTATATGCAAGAAGTAAACATAAACTTCACAATAATCTGACAACTTGGTGTTTCAGAAATAGAGGTAATAAGAAGTATCCCAAAGCTTAATAATCACATAATTTAGTTCATTTAACACACGATTACAAAAGATAAAATAGTCTGACTACTGAGCTCGAAAACTTTCCCTAGCTTTTTTTTTTAAGAATTCAAAATCAAACTGAATTATTATTCACATTGCACTGTGGATCATGATTATATACATATACCTTTTAATCTGGGTCATGTCAGTGGGCTCTGGCTCTAAGATCTCTGGTGCTAGCTTTATGTCATCAACTTCTCTCAAGAGATTATACAGAGGTTCAATCTGCTCATTAAACCTTGCTAATAACAAACGAGAATCTGTCTTGGGTAAAGCACTTTCATCTTCGATGACGGGAGCATCACAGAAACTGCAACGAAATTCCCCAGTCATAAAGTCACATAATTGATCAGCTTCGAGATCAGTAAAGGTTTTTTCACAAGAAGTACACTTAAAGGAAGCCCTACTTGTTGAGTCTCTTTCTTCAGTTTCAATTTTCCGACGCATGTGGTCTAGCTTGTACTTCAAAACATTTACAAAAATCTAAGAATAAAATAAGAAAATATGTTAATCTGCTGCAATGATATCAAATTTTAATATTAAAACTACTATGAAAAATTAACAACAAATGAACATCCAATGAAGAATGGCATCATAATAAAGCTGAACTTTTATAATCAAATCTTTGATTTATAGCAAAATATTTCAAATTACTTTTTCATTAACAGAAACAAGACAGATTATGAATAAGAATAATCTGCTAAATACCTGACAGAAGTAATAAAAGGTTAATGAGCATGATACCAAATTCAAATGTAATACAGTACAAAGTCTTTAATCCGGACCTCAAAGCTACAAATTTTCTGCACATGTGTAAATGCTTAATGAGTTTACGAATGCGCGTTTAATGTATAACGGACGGTATAAGCTAGGCTAAAAGGTTAGAGTTGACTTTAGGGTACCCCTTGTATAATATTATCACGAAATTGTTGTTTCGTTAATCGCCAAGTTGTTGTCTCATTTATGACAACCTGAGTAGTTGAATGCTATGGAATCCCTATTATGACATAATTGGTTTCAGCGAATTTGAATCATGGGAAAAAATTTGGAAAGTGTTGTGTCAGATTTTAGGTAAGGGCTTGTGTGTGATGGATTAGTACGTTGTTATTTTGTGGTTTACACGGTAAATTGGCTGAATGTGGTAAGATTAATTTGAAGTTTCTGTAGGATTTGCAACGAAAGGGAAAAAAGCATTAATTGACTGGTGTGCAAATGAAGGTTTACTTTGTAGCCATTATTAAGTGTCCTGTTTGGAGGAAGGAAATGCTACTCGGTATCCATGTACTGCCAAAAATCGCCAAGAGGTACCCTAAAATATACTTTTACCGGCTAAAATTATCTATTTCAGTTAATGTTGCAGATTGCGTTGTTCCTTAATCTTCTAATTAGATCCAGCTTATTATTTTTTTGCAGACTATTAGAGCAATTTTATAAAAAGTAAGCTTGAACTTTCGATTATGTCAAAAAGAGTTTCTGATTCTGGAGCTGCCAAAGGATCTACAAAGTGAAAGCATGTTTCAATGTACCGCTTCCGATAGTGAAGAAAATGACAAAGAGGTTATTGAAAATGAAAAAATTTCGATTGGCAAGTTAGTCAGTATTCTCGAAACAGCAATTACAGGACTTGAACAGTGGAACTGAACAAGAAATTATGTCTTTTTATAGAATTAAAGAGAAAGTATTAGCACAAAAAACGAAGCAACTTAAACAACTTACATTGAAAGAAATGTTTAATAATAAACAAATAAATATTAAGCCTTTTTTTTTTTTTTTTTTTTTTTTTTTTGTAAATTTTGATACCCTTTAGATCATAATTGCTCTTTATTTCATAAATTACGTTTCATATTTTTAATTTTATAATTTCTGCATGCCATCTTACCAGATTTAAATTGATGATCTATAATCCGGAATCGCTGAAGTCCCGATGAGTCTGGATTAAAATCTTTTTACTGTACACTACTTTCAGATAAAAATATTACATGATCAATATGACTAGATATCCCAGATTCCACTGGTAAGATCTGGACTTTAGTATGATGTTCACCATCAGTATACATTACAAATTCTGTAAATAAAGTAACTCGCCATATGAACTCAGAAAAAGAGTGCAAATTTGTGCCTAGCAGCCAAAAACAGAAAAGCTGAAAAGACCTGAGTGCCCAGCACAGCAGACTTTTATACAGAGTCAGAAGTTTAGCTGCCATTCTGAAGGAAAGGACTGTTTGAGATTTAGAAAAACAGGCTGGACAAAGTAATAATTGGAAATCTGAAGTCAAGACTAATGAAAATCTTAAAACTCAATTCGCGAAAATTGCACATTTCAGAAAAACATGTCTGTAGACCTACTAAACAAGCCAATTTTGATACAACTGCAGATGGATCTTCTCTGACTTTTTCAAAATTATTAAGGAAATAATAATGTTTTCTGTATTATAGGCATAATTTACACAAGGGGTAGTCAACCATTTTATACCTGCCGCCCACCTACTAGGTAGTAAAATTTTCTTACCACCCACCTATTTCGCAGGAACTTAATTTAGTGTAAATGCAAGGTAATTTTTTGAGTGGAGCCTTAGTGAAAATATATACAGTTAAATTTATCTATTTATTTATGTTTTGCATAGTTAGCCGGCAGTTCCAGGAAAACTGTTTCGGATGGGAAATCTTCATTGGTAAGAAAAGAAAAAAATCATTTCTTGGAAAATTTCTCCTAGCCTCAGGCTTTGCTAAGATGTGATAATCCCACTGTTGCAAAAACATCTAAGAGAAACGGCAAAAACTTACATGTACAAATTATGGAACAGGAGAGAGCTGCACGTGGGAGAACAGACTTTCATAATCAGATGAACAAAAGCCTCTACCACCATTATTAAAGCTTAAATCACCCACTAGTGGATGGTTGGGTCCAGGTTGACAAACCCCGATTTACACCACAGCTGGTAGAATGTCAGAGATCAAAGATGCTTCGACACCTATCAATAAATTATTTGTATTGTTTTTCATTTTTGAGGATGTTTTTAGTGCAAATGCATGCACACATACTAATTCATTTTTCATTTTTATATACAGCTTTTGTATTTTTGATTTTTCCCAAATTTTCGATGCAGAACCATGTGTGTACCTGATGTTTTTATTATCTCTTTATGAGCATATTTCTATGTTCAAAATTGTTTTTCAAATATACTTTACTGATGTGCCCTACTGATTCCATACCTATCTTTACTTCTTTTACGTTTTCTGGAATATTCTTTTATATGAGCAATTTATCTTTTAGTTTTCCAGCAGCTTTGTGAAAATGTTGTGCAAATATTTTATTAAGTTCTTAATATTTTCAAATCTTTGATGAAGGCTGGATCTAAAGCCCCATGAATTCTGGTGACACACAATCCTTACGAACATCATGGGTCGTATTGTCAGACTTGGTGTCCATGTACACATCGATCTATTTTCACTTAAACATGAGAGAATTTCACATACTAGGCATTGTGCATTGCCTTAACTTGCATGTACACGTCATCTAGGACATGGTTTTATTTTTTTATAATTTAATTTGACATTTACACTGTTCATACTTTCAAGCTTTTTTTAATACATGATAGCATATAAAAAATTGTGTTTCAGAAATGTAAGAACATGAAATTTTATACAGCATATAATTTCACTAATGACAGTGGACAGATCAGGGTTATTATAAGAAACATGAGGAAACACTATGTCTATTATTCCCCATTTTCATTGCGAGCTGGCAAGCAAGATTGGGATAGAATTATAAATACTCGTCTGTTTTATCAAAAATTTATGTAATATGACGATTGTCGAAGGTGGTCATGCAAAAAGCACCAGCTACCTCTCAATAGTCCGAGCATGTTCTTATATTTCTTCACCACTAATGTTCCATTATTATTTAAGGAAAAAAAAAAGGAAGAATAATATAAGAAAAAAAAATTCTTATATTATTCTTCCTTTTTTTTTCCCTTAAATAATTTAAATTAAAACAACTGCAAATTTACATAGGCAATATCAGCAATTTATTAAAAGCAAAAAAACTCACTTTGTAATTAATGTAATAATAGTTCTGTCTCGTAGCTTTCCCATCTGAACCTGTTTCCATTTTTAAGCGAACTTTCACAAAACGATCATTTTTTAACTGAGCAATTACTGAACGCAACTGTTTTCGTTCAAATTTTAAAAGTTCAACGAGATCATCTTCTTTCATACATGGATTACGAATAAGCATATCCATTAATATCGCATGTTCGACGTTATAAAAACCTCTCATAACTAAACGAACAAGTCTTTTCAATGCTGTTGGTACCTCGGTTACAACTGTAGACATTTCACAAATAAGAAATTAACAAGAAAAACTAAACACTATTGAGCAAAACAATTCGGTGAATGATGAATTTATATTTGCAATAAAGGTATGACTGATTAGCAGAATAAGATTCAATTCACTTTATCCCATGAAATGTTTCGTGGCAACATATCATTTCCCATTTTAAGTATTGAATCCAAACTTATATCTCATGAAAAAATCAAAGACAGAATATTCCAAACAAATGACAACCGGTATTCTTAAAAAACATTTCTACCCAAACTCACGTTCACGTTGTTGCCACATCTTCAGAACTATTAACACTAATCCGACTCAAAATTCAACAAGCGCCTGGCCCCAGCCACCACCCCAAGCTCTTATTGGACACGACTTCTGATGTCATACAGTGACGAAAAGAATTCTCTGCAGCATTTTTGTGCGCCAAAAGCTTGAGCTCGAGATCATTTAAGCGCTGAAACAGGCGAAGCAATGGAATAATTTGCCCTATTTGCGAAAAAATTACAAAAATAAAAAGCAGCTTCAGAAATATATTGTTAATATACATAATATTAGAAAAAAGGTGCAATTCGATGTGCAGTCTATAATCGTTTAGCAGTATTTTGGTCATTAGACGAATATCGAAGTCATTTGACAATAAACACTTTTTATAAGATATAAAAGTTAAGAAACAAAACAATAATACATAAAAAAGCAGAATGATAACTCCAATTGACAAAGTCAAATAAACGATATTACAAGTATTTTACGATTTAAAAGTATCTTATAACTTTATCTTATTTTTAACCACAAACGAGGAGAAATTAAAGCCTAGGATTAGAAAGTAAAAAATTAATCTGACTAAGAACAATTTTGATACCAAACAATCTCTTTATAACAAGCAATAAATGAAAGGAAGGTTATTTAATTATCAAACAGTTCATTTTTATAAAAAAATAACTAAATTTTACATTTATATCACTTTTAAAAACACTTCTCTGCAAAATAAACCGCTAATTCATGGAAACTGCGGCAGACATTATTAACACAGTAAGAGTTAAGTGCTATTTTTTGACATTGCTGACGAAGCAAATCTTGTTAATGGTCTCCTTTTATATGAAATTATAAAACACATTTCTTAAATATCAGTATAGCGCTATGAATTGCATTGAATACAGATTGCTTAGCCAAACACTATTTACGCATTATAAAGTTTTATCTATTCCATTAACATGATTAAACAATTTATATAAAAAGTGCCGACATATTTTCTTATACTCTTAGGTTCGTTTTAATTGCAAATATTCTGTTACATTGCACAAATTCGCATTAACACAGGAGAGAACCAAATCCAAAGTAGTTATATGTTCCTCTTGACATAACTCAAACGAAATAGATGATGGAATCTTTTCAGCCTGACGTCATAAACGGCAACCAATAAGAACAGGGGTGGTGGCTGAGGCCAGGCGCTTGTCAAAATTCACAATCTTTGGAGTAATTACCGAAGGAGGCTACGTCGTGAAAAGTTTCTGCAATGTGCTACCATCTAGTGGTAAAAATAAATTTATGAATTATTGATTATTAACTACTTAGAAAGAAAAATATTTGATTACTACAATATAATTGTAATTAATATCATGAAGATTTATTTATATAAAAGACTTGCAGTTACGAATTGCTCAAATTTACGAAATGTCGAATTGATCGCGTAAAATAGTCTATGGAAACCAATTTCCATATGTATTTAGGAACAAAAACAACATATTCTTTAGACTAGAAGAGAAATACGCTAATGTGACAATCAAAATCGTAAAAAACAACCTTGTATTTAGCGTAGGTATAATGAAACACTCAATCGATTTCGAGGGCAGCTAAAGGTCCCTCCTCATCAGGAAAAAGAAATACATAGAAAGAAGAAAATAGGAGAAGGAGTCACAGAAACACGTGGTCCTTATCAGCACTGCACGTGGTTATAACTAGATTTTTATTCAGAGTTGCACTGGCCGCCTACTTTTACTGAGCCAGGCTATCTGATAAAGCATAAAGAAATATTAGCGAAGTTAAAATAGGGAGCGAGGGTCAATTATTTGAAGTTCAGATTTTGAGCGTAAGGTGCATTTGCCCCTCGCTCCCTATTTTAACGTCGCTAATATTTCTTTATGCTTTATCAGATAGCCTGGCTCAGTAAAAGTAGGCGGCCAGTGCAACTCTGAATAAAAATCTAGTTATAACCACGTGCAGTGCTGATAAGGACCACGTGTTTCTGTGACTCCTTCTCCTATTTTCTTCTTTTTATGTGTTTCTTTCTCTTGATGAGGAGGGACCTTTAGCTGCCCTCGAAATCGATTGAGTGTTTCATTATACCTACGCTAAATACAAGGTTGTTTTTTACGATTTTGAACATATTCTTTCTTTTTGAACTTTTTTCTTTCACTGCTTTCCCTTCTAAGTAATTTCGATGGTAATACAGTACCGATAGATGACGGCTTATAATATCAATAAGATTTTTTACCGCCTAATTTCAAGAAGTAAAATGTTTAAAAATGATCTAGCAAATAAATAAAATATTTAGGGTATAAAAAGTATAATTTTTGTTCAACTTTTATGTCTATGTCTTATCACTTAGTAAGAGGCGATCGACCATTAACGGCCTTTACCAATATATGGTACTTGACTTTTAAATGCTTGAAGAATCGAGTAAGTTGTATCCAATAATATGTAGTACTTGTACACATGCTGTGCTAGAACTCGGAGATTACTAGCGACGGAGTCTCCTGTGCCGCCGTCCGTAGAATAAGTAAACTTTCAACAAATGAGGTGCTCGTGTGGCGTCATCTATTAGTAGTGAACAAAAGCATTTTAGTTGACTGGAGCTCTGGTTGCGCCATCTCTTGCAGGATGTATTGTAAGGCATTTTTAAAATTTCATAAAAATTATTCTTTTGATAAGCAATAATTGGCAAGTAAAATGATGAAAAACACAATTTGCAGTAAATTGAAACGTGTCACAAGAGTAAAAACTATTTACACACAAAGTCTACCTGCTTTGGCAAGAGCAAAGTCCATAGCGCTTTGTAATTTGATAAGTAAATTTATAAGTAAAGAAAATGAAGTAAAATCTTGGCTAACTAAGAAGAAAACGAAAATATATACATTACCACCGACTATTATGGTGGATAGTGCGGGGCTTCTTGTGGCGTTGTTCAATTGTGAAATCATAATTTCCTAGTTTTTTTATGATATTCTCAGGATGACTGTCAGATTTCATAAAAAAGTTATGAGAAGCTTTTAGAATTTCAGAATTCGTGGGTTTAATTTTTAAGTCATTGTAAAGAGTGTTGTTTTGTACGAACCAAGGCGCATTTGTAATTATTCGAATGGCCTTGTTTTGAATTCTTTGTATTTTTTCGCGATGAGTTCTTGCAGTTGCGGCTCACGCTGAGAAAGCATACAATAAAATCGGGCGGATAGCTTGTAGATAAATAACTCTTTTTGTAGCGAGACTAAGTTTAGAATTTCTGCCTATGAGTGCATAGATACAGCCTATTGCTTGGTTGGCTTTTTTACAGATATTTTCGATATGGTTTTTGAAGGTTAGTTTTTGATCGAGATAAACACCTAAATATTTAACACATTTTTCATTTGGGATGGAGGTATTATTAATTGTGATATTGTTGAGATGTCTTCTGGAAGGGTTCTTTTGGAAATAAATTGTAGTTGATTTGCTTTCATTGATTTTAATTTTCCAAACGTTAAACCGTGGGAAGATATAGTCTATTGCATTTTGGAGGTTTTGCGGATTGATGGATTTGCTGAGAATTGCAGTATCGTCCTCATAGCAGGCGATAATGGCATCTTTGTGGCTGGGAAGATCATTTATGTAGATGTTAAAAAGAAAAGGTGAAAAATTCGAGGCCTGAGGGACACCTGCTTTCATTACACTGATATTAGATAGCTCGTTCTTAATACGAACTTGAAAAGTTCTGTTTTCCAAAAAACTTGAAATTAGGAGGATTAATCCAGGTGGAAATTTGTCTCCGATAAGTTTCATAAGGAGGCCTGGGTGCCAAACCTTATCAAACGCTTTTTCAATATCAATGAAGATGCCAGCAACAGTTTCTTTTTTTATTAAAAGCTTCTCCGATGATTTCAGTAATTCTTGTAACTTGTTGAGTGGTGCTAAATCCATGCTTAAATCCAAACTGATGTTCCTTAATAATATTATTGTCTTCAGCGAATTTAGTGAGCCTATTGATGACTAATCTTTCAAACAGCTTGCCAACAGCTGAAAGTAAACTAATGGGTCTGTAATCTGAAGTGGAAGATCCCTTTTTCCCAGATTTCTTCAAAACAATGATTATCGCATGCTTCCATTGTTTAGGAAAAAATCCTATACGCAGGCAAGCATTAAAGATGTAATATAGTTGCAGGATGGCATAAAATAGTTAATGACAAAAGGAAATACGTAACAGAATATCGGGTAATTCGCGAACAGTGGCTGAAATTTGCCAGGTTGCTGTTCCAAAAAAATTTTAAATTTGTTTTAAAATTGTGTAAAAGGAAACAAACATATATCAGAAGAAAATTTATTTTGAAACTTCATGAAATATCAGAAGAAAATTTATTTTGAAACTTCATGAAATATCAGAAGAAAATTTATTTTGAAACTTCATGAAATCTTACAAGAAAAGAATTCAACATTTCTTAATTACTTTGGCCAAAATTGTTACAGTTCAATCTTTTGTCTGTTAATTTAAAAATGAAATTCATTCTTCTTGTTTTAATTTGCGTGAAAAGATCAATAATTTTCGCCTTGATCTCTGGATGATAACTGAGGAAATTTTTCTTTATTGAAAGCAATGCAAGCGCATTTAGTCTTTCCGAATTCCTAGTGCTTCTTCTGCCTCTAAAGTAGTCATGGGAACTCTGAAGAGAATTTTTATAATTTGCAGTATTTATAGATATCAGACCTACAAAAGAATACTTTTAGTTCAATTTCAAACTTTTCTTTGTCAATCATTGGATATGCTTCAATGGTCGCCACTATTTCTTCCATAGGATGTTCATTCCTAAAACTAATGAAGCATTTCTTGTCAAACAATTTAGCAGCTACTAAGTGTTTAGTGGAGGAATATCTGTGACCAATACACGGAGTATATACTCCGTGGATCAATACATAGTATAAAGTCACATATTTCCTTAGCTTCTGCCATCAGTTTCTTTGAAAAATTCTCACAGTACTTTGAGTTTCTTAATTCTAAAATAGCAGTTTAATTCTAAAATAGCAGTTCTTAATTCTAAAATAGCAGTTTTGAAATTTGTTATATATTCATTAACTTAAACAC